GTACTTGCAGAAAAGAAGATATAGCATAATTGAAAAGGCCACTGCTGAGGGAACAGATGAGGTTATTTTGGATGCTGTTGGAGATAAGTATGGACCTTATGACTCTAGCAGGTTTAAGAAATCCAACAAGGTAACAACTAGCTTTTCTTTCTTCATTGTTACATGATTATGCTGTTATTCAGTTCTAAATATGGGATGAAGTTCACATACATGGACCTTAAATAAGGGTTATGCACCATTCCTTTGTTTTTGGGAACTAACTATTGGCTCCTCATATAGAGGGAACTAATCTATGAAAATCTTGCCTGTGCATGACTGTATTTTTGGGTTTTTTTAGTTGTTGGGGAGGCGGGGCTTGGTGGGGTTGTGGTTGACTGAGTAGGAGAGACAAGAGAGCTTTGAGCATGTTCATTGATGTTTTAAAGAGATCGAATGCCTACAGATTGTGTTTATCTGTTGTCTATTATTGTTGTTTTCTGCCGACCAACATGTATTATTTTCACCAATGTACTTGTCAAAGCAAGTCTCGGAGTCTGGTGCTATGGCCACTTACTGAGTTTAAGTTTATAACCTCATTTTGTATGTGCTCCCTCAGGTTCGTGGCAACATTGCTATTAACTCAGGTGCCAGGGAAATGGCAGCAATATTGGACACAGCTCTTCTTCAAGCTCTTCTTCTTACAGGACAGAGTTCAGCAGCTTTAGAATTACTGGAGGGTCTTAACTACTGTGACCTAAAAATATGTGAGGAGATTCTTCAGAAACGAAATCATTATACTGCTTTGTTAGAACTCTACAAATGCAACGGCATGCACCGTGAAGCTCTTAAGCTTCTGCATCAATTAGTTGAAGAGTCAAAATTAAACCAGTCGCAGCCTGAGCTTAACCCAAAGTTCAAGCCTGAATCTATTATTGAGTATCTCAAGGTAAGATCTCTCGTTTGGGTGGTTGCTAGCTTTGGTGCTGTTTTTTGTTTTACTGGTGAAACAAGAAAATACCATGGAAACATGAGATTGGGTCACCTGCATAAAAGAATTTGACAAAATATGGTGTTTCATGGCATTAATACATAAAAGCATATATATGGCTGCCATGCTCATTAAACACTGTTTTTTTCTCATTTTATTGTGCCAGCATATTCCTTCAATGGATTTGACTAATTCAACTTTATGTCTCAACTAAAACTTGTTCCCCGGCATCTAAGTTTTCACAAATTTCTTTGTTGGTCTTAATTTTTGTTTGTGTTTTTAGCATTTGTAATGATTCAAATATTTGATGTTCTGCTGTTGGAATATCACCAAAGCAATTTTCGGTAGTTCATTCTGTAAATAGATTATTGCTTAACTGAATGACTTAAATCTACAGCCTTTATATGTTCAAAATACCGAATGAATTCTGATGGATTTCTGTATGCAGCCTTTGTGTGGAACTGATCCCATGCTTGTCTTGGAGTTTTCAATGCTTGCTCTCGAAAGCTGTCCTACACAAACTATTGAGCTATTTTTGTCTGGGAATATTCCTGCAGACATGGTCAACTCTTATTTGAAGCAGCATGCTCCAAGCATGCAAGGCAGATATTTAGAACTTATGCTTGCAATGGATGAAAATCGGATCTCTAAAAACCTACAAAATGAAATGGTGAAGCTTTGTATTTATGTCATATCATTTTTCTTATTCTTTCTAATTGATGTGGCAAAACAGATAGTGCTGCTTGCCCCATGCTATTATGATGGGTACTGGCAGTGATGCTGCTAATTTTATCACAATTAGTAGAATTTACTTATCAATTCTATGTGTCACAGGTGCAAATCTATCTGTCGGAAGTACTTGATTGGCATGCAGAGTTGAATGCTCAAGAAAAATGGGATGAAAAGGCATATTCACCAACACGGAAGAAATTATTGTCTGCTTTGGAGAGCATCTCAGGGTATAACCCAGAGGCTCTGTTGAAACGGCTTCCTGCAGATGCATTATATGAAGAGCGTGCACTTTTGTTGGGAAAAATGAACCAACATGAGCTTGCCTTATCTCTATATGTTCACAAGGTATTCTCTATTAAAGATCAATCTGTTTGTTCCTTCTTCTTACTACATATGATGTGATTCTTTGTTTTTTTTTTCTGTTTTCTGTGTCACTGTTGGTTGAAAAAGTTACCCAACCTCAACTCATTTGGGATCTAAGGCTTTGTTGAGTTGAGGCTAGTTCTTAAAAAGTTCTTTTAACCTTGCAGCTTCATGTTCCTGATCTGGCATTATCCTACTGTGACCGTGTTTATGAGTCTGCAGCTCATCTACCATCTGTAAAATCTTCTGGCAATATATACCTAACTCTCTTGCAAATTTACCTCAATCCCCGGAAGACAACCAAGAATTTTGAAAAGCGAATGACAAATCTAGTATCCTTTCAGAATACTAACGTTCCCAAGATAAGTTCCATGACCCCAATTAAAGTTAAAGGAGGTCGTTCTGCAAAGAAAATTGCTGCTATAGAGGGTGCAGAAGACATGCGAGTCAGTCCTAGTGGCACTGACAGTAGCAAGAGTGATGGGGATGCAGACGAATTTGGTGAGGAAGGCGGTTCTACTATTATGCTTGATGAGGTGCTTGATCTGTTGAGCAAAAGGTGGGACAGAATCAATGGAGCTCAGGCCCTGAAACTCTTACCAAGGGAAACTAAATTACAGGTACTTAACCTATGGCAATAACTTACAAAACTTGAACAATTCCATCTTGCTCTTCCAATTGATACTTATTTGCTTTAAAATTTCCTTTGCAGAATTTGCTTCCCTTTCTTGGACCTCTTCTGAAAAAATCCAGTGAAGCATACAGGAATCTCTCAGTAATCAAAAGCTTGAGGCAGACTGAGAACCTGCAGGTATCCACTATGTAATGCATACACATTCAACCATTAATGTGCTAGTATAAATTATTTGCACCAGGAATCCTCCTAACCAATCATAGGTTTGCTATAAGAAGATTTAATATCTTGAAGGAAGGGTGTATTTATCAAACATAATGTGGAATTATGCCATTTAGCTTGCACCGATTTTAACTTCTGTTATAGAGGCCATATTTATGCTGGGTTAACACTTTGTCAGTTTCCAGGGTAAATAGCTCAATTTATCTTTATATAATTGGCCAAGTCTCTAATATGTCGTTACATTTCTGATTGTGTCTATATTATATCCTTATATAATACCCAATTCTCTAACATGTCCTTTGCTCAAAAAATTGATAAAATTAAATTTTTCATTCTAAAATTTTCCTTACCATAGAAAATTCTGAAAATTGCTCAAAATGTTTTAAGAAATAAGAAGTTTCAAAATTACAAAACTATTAAAATTTTTAAAAGTGAAGAATTTATTTATTTATGTTTTTTTAAAAAAAACTAAAATTGTATTCTTGTATAGCTCAAGGGTATTTTCAGAATAGACAATATATAATTATGTAAATTTGGATAAAAAAACATAATAGGTGGACACATTGGAGAATTGGATATTATACAAGGACATAGTAGACAAAATTAGTAACATTAGGACATATTAGAGACTTGACTGATTATATAAGGATTGATTTAATTCATTTACCCTAGTTTCTATATATCAATGCTCACTTGTATGGCTGTTGAAAAGCAAAACATAATCGACACATTGAAAAAAATCTGCAGGACAATTATTAAACCATCAATTTCCTTGACTTCTGTGCAAGATTCAATCATTTCTTACAATTTACAGTATAGTACGTAGTTGATGTGATGTGCTTGTTTGCATATTGTTACTTGCGGAGTGCTGCTTTACAGTACACCAATTTTATAGCAAAGTTCACCGTAAAGAGGCAGGCTCAATTAGCTTCAAACTGAAGCTAATGTGGCTGAAACATTTCATTCTCAAATCAGCGTGATAGTCTTGATCTACACCTTATGTGTGTATTTTTTTTATGGATTCATAATCCCTTTTTTCCTTGTTCATTGGTATTTTTTGTTTCCTGCAAGATTGCTGCTTTCGTTTACTTTGAACAGCTACCTGCTTCCCATTTTATTTTTCTCACAATTATCATGTTAACAGGTGAAGGATGAAATGTATAACCTTAGGAAAACAGTAGTCAAGATCACCAGTGATACTACATGCTCTCTCTGCAACAAGAAAATTGGAACGAGTGTATTTGCGGTCTACCCCAATGGGAAAACAATCGTTCACTTCGTTTGCTTTAAGGATTCGCAAAGTATGAAAGCTGTGGCTAAAGGCTCGGCTCTAAGGAAGCGATGAGGTGTTTTTTACGTGGCTAAATGAAACATTCCTTTTTGGTTGAAGCTTGGGAATGGCAGTTTCTTTTAATCAGTTTGAGCACATTTAAGCTTATTTTTGGTTTGCCTACTGTCCGTTCCCGAATCATGCAACCTTAAAACCGCAATGGCAGCTTTCGGAGGATGACTTCTCGTTTGGTCGGTTATATTTATATTTTGAATGTAGATAAGTGTAGATGTGTGGGGCTTGTAATTTGAAGGCTTGAGATGAATCATATTTATTGACGGGTGCATTATAAACTTTCCCTACTATTGATTGAGGGTGTATCTGTTGTGAAATAGTTTGTGAAAAAATGCAGCATTTATAATATTTCTATTTGTTAGAGAGTGGCTTGATTTCATGTAAAGATCTATTCTCTCGCCGATCGTAGGAATTATGATAGCATTTTGTAACCTTCCTTTGACAGTGATGTGCTTTGTTTCTTTCTTTTCTGCATTTGTTTACTTTTCCAAGATGGAAGGATCTTTCTTCGACGATATGATAGTTGATAGAACTGTGTAATTTTCCTTTGAGATTGACGTGTTTCTTGAACGAACTGTTTTCTTTCTTTTCTCCTTTACCCTTCGGTTTTATCTTTCTTGCTGCTTCGCAAGATAAATTATACGGTACTATTGAACAATATGGTCACAGAAAGTAAGCTTAAAATGGCAAGAAACAACAGGGTTTTGAATTTCCTTGCTTAACAAAGATAACCTCGATCACCATGAATTGCTCTTTAAGCTAGAAGGCAACCTTTGGGCCTTGCTAGCAAAACGATAAACAACAACACCAACCCTAGACCCTTCAGAGGGACGATCCACGTAAACAACCTCAACGTTAAAAACCTTCTTGGCCCTCTTAAAAAACGCAGAATCCTTCTTCCACCTCTTCAAATGAGCCATGACAAACACCATCTTCTTACCCTCACCCAGCATCAACAAACGCAGCGTTTTAAGCAAAGGGTCATAAAGATGATCATAATAAACGACGTCGGATGCCAGCACAAGATCAAACTCCCTCCCCACAGCCTCCACGTCAGCATCCTCTCCCCACCTCAGAGCTGCCACGCTTACAGTCCCACCTCGTGAAGCCAACACGTCAACGTTAGCATCCACATTGAATTGCAAGTTGGGTATTACGTGAGGTAAGTCTGTGACCATGACCTTAGCACCAAGCGTCACAGCTGCTGCAATCCCTACAATTCCAGTACCTGAACCCAGTTCAAGAATCCTAAGAGACCCAAGAGTCGGACCGTTGGATATTGCATCAAGAATTGGTGATAAAGGGCTGGTGCTGTGGTTGTCAAGGAGAGTGACAAGGGTTGTAGCTGCTGGCCAGAGCTGGAAGGAGAGACCTTGAGATGGGAGTTGTCGGATCACGACCGTTGAGTTGATCGAACGGATGTAATGCTGCTGCACTTGTTGTGCTGGTGTGTCACGTTGTAGTTCAGAGAATCCGTTTTCGTTGCCTGGTAGAAGGACTTTGATGGGGTTTGTGTCATCTTCAGAGTCTTCTTCTTGCTGCTGAGGAGTTGCCATGCGCCGCCGAGGCTGAAGCTTTCGCTTTCCTTGATATATTCCTCCTCGATCGGTTAGGGCTTTGATTTTGAAAGCGTTGCTTATGTACATGTGGGCTCTGTGTTGGTGAATTTTCTATCTTGCCCTGCTACGTTTTGTTGTGGTCAACAAAGTTTTGATTTTGTCGTTAACCGAAATGGGATTGGACTGTTGGAGAAGGGCTGATATGGTAATTATGTCACCTTAATATTTATTACTAATTTTGGAAAACGACAGATTATTTATCCAGAGTGTCCTTTAATGATTCCAGCTAGCTGTTAAAGGACATAGTAGTACTTTTCTTGGTAGATATACACTCTCTACAACGAATCTTATGCTTTGGATAATCTTTATGTATTTATTTCTTTTCTTTAAATTTTTATTAATTTTCTGGTGATATCTAGGGATTAATCTTTTGATTCTTATGCTTATATATAGATGGAGTTTGTTCAACTCTCCACCCTACCATTGTGTGATATAGAAAAAAGATATTTTTCTATATTGGATATGCTTTATACACTCAATTTGATATAATTTTTGATGGTTTTATAACCGGAAAGTCTAATTGTAAACACAATATGCTCTATATACTCAATTTGATATAATTTCTAACTTTTTTCTAAAACAAAAAATGAAAAAAATATTTTTAAAAATTGAAAAGAAAAGAAAAAAATATATAAAATCAAATAAAGGATGAGACAATCAAGAATACAATAATATGCAAATTAACATGTAAACCCGATCTTTTATATATATACACCTCATCAAACGACAATATTGATACCAATCATAATTAGCACAATTTAGCACATGCAACATGTTGCGTTTAACAATGATAGATCGGGCGGTTGGTTTAGCAAAAGGGGGATATAGGCTGATTTTGGTTGGTCTTTTGCTTTTTTACCTATGGTGAATGGAAAAAAGTCGAGAGGATATGATAATAATAGCGAGTGTAGGTATGGGTAAAAAATAATATGAAAATAAAAAATGATTGGGTTTACTTCGAGGGAAACCTATACCTCATTAGCACGAGTAAGATGCTTAATTCAACTCCGCCTTTTCTCACGAGAACTTACAAATAAATAAACAAAACTCAACAACTTTTCCATAAACTCCAAGCAACAATATCTCCCGCTAATCTCAACAACGCATCCTAGAAACATGAAATAGCTTGAACAAAATCAAATCCTAACGACTACTTAGAAGACTTATTTAAAGTCCCTACTTTATTGTGAAATACTAACAAAAATAAAAAACTGGACGTCTTGGACATAACATCCTTTCCCTCTAGAGAACTCCATTGTCCCCGAGGGTATCTTTAGGAAATTGCAACTGGAGTTCATCATAATCTTCCCATGTTGCATCCGTTGGTGACAATCCTTCCCGATGCACAAGAACTTGCTTCCTTTGTCTCCGCCAACGGTGGTCCAAAATAGCTTCGAGGTAGAGGGCTGATTGTGTCTCCCTTTTCTAGAACCACTAGTAAAAATTCTTGAATTATTTCCTTTTCATCTAGCTTTTTTTTTAGCAATGAGACATGGAACATGGGGTGTAGTTTAGAATTTTCAAGTAACTTGAGCTTGTATGCAACCGCACCTACCTTTCCAATAATCTCAAATGAGCCATAGTACTTAGGGGCTAATTTGAGATTTCTTCGAAGAGCCAATGAAGCTTGTCCGTATGGTTGTAACTCGAGAAAAACTAGATCTCCCACTTCAAAGCTTTTGTCGGTTCCGTGGGCATCATAGTACTTTTTCATACGCTACTCGAGCCATGTTTAATTGATCCCGTAACTCCTTTAGAAGATGTTCCCGACTTCATAGTTCTTCATCCACGGATTCCACAAGTGAACTTCCCGGAACATATGATAATAATGTTGGTGGAGGCTTGTTATACACAATCTCATAAGGAGTCTTCTTTGTGGAAGAATGAATATTGGTATTGTAACAATACTTAACCCAAACAATCCATCGTGTCCACTCCCTTGGCTTATGACTCGTGAAACATCGTAGGTACATCTCCATCGTCTTATTTACCACCTCGGTTTAGCCGTCGGTTTGAGGATGATAAGTCGAGTCGAAGTTGAAATTGGTTCCCTGCAACTTGAAGAGTTCCTTCTAGAAAATAATAGTGAAAGTAGGGTCTCGATCACACACAATGATTTTAGGCACCCATACAATTTAAAAATCTGATTGAAAAAGACTTAGGCTATAGTAGTTGTTGAATATAGATGAGAGATAGGTATAAAGTGAGCAAACTTAGAAAGCCTATCAACTACCATAAAAATCACCGACTTGCTTTTAGAAACTGGAAGGCTTTTCACAAAAACCATAGATATATCATCCCAAACTTCATTTGGTATTGGGAGGGGTGTAAGTAACCGGTAGGGTTGCTAGTGTCGATTTATGCCTTTGACAAGTTTCACAATTTCGTATGAATTCAAGAATGGATTTCCTCATGTTCTGCTAATAGAAAATCGACTTGATCCTCTACGAGGTTTTATGATATCCTTCATGGGTACTAGAGTGCATCTCCCCGACAATGGTGAAAACTAAAGGTGACTCGACCAAAAGATATATTCTATTTTTAAAATAAAGAATACCTTCTTTGAATTCCCAAAGGCCTACGGCTTCTCCTCGTCGGCATAGTTTCACAAGTCTCTATAAGATGGCACTATGATGGACCTCCTTTTTTATTGACTTAAGCCAAGTTGGTACTAGTACGGTGATTACACTCAATCGCCCATCTTTATATCTTTTAGAAAGTGCATCGACCACACAATTCTCTTTGCCCCTTTTGTACTCAATGATGAAGTCAAACCTTATTATTTTTTACAACCACTTTTCTTGTGTCGTAGTGACAATTCTTTGCTCCCACAAATACTTGAGGCTTCTTTGATCGATCCACACAATGAACTTTCTCCCCAATAAATATGGCCTTCATTTTTTTACCGCAAGAATCGTAGCTACAATTTCTTTTTCGTATGCTCGACGGATACAAATTTTTACCTTGCAAAGCATGGTTGAAAAATTCAATGGCTCTCTCGTTTTGCATAAGTGCACCTCTAATACTCGTTATGGATGCATCACATTCAATAATGAAGGGTTCATTGAAATTTGGTAAGGAAAGAACTGGTGCTTATGTCATGGTTTTCTTTAACGACTAAAAAGACTCATCTCGCCTTGGAATTCCACTTGGAAGCCACTTTTTTCAATAATTGAGTTAATGGTGCAGCAATCTTTTCATAATTTTGAATGAATTTCCTATAATATCCCGTTAATCCAAGGAAACCGCGTAATGCCTTGACGGTCTTGGGCTTTGGCCATTCTTGCATTACAACAACCTTCTCGGGATCAATCGACACTCCTTTATTGAAAATTATGTGCCCCAAGTACCTCGGCTCTTGTTCTGCAAAGCTACACCTTTTTTTTTGACAAACAATCGATGAGTTCTTAGCAGTTTCAATGACATCTCAACATGCTTCATATGTTTTTCCCATAACTCGACTATAGATTAATATGTCATAAAAAAACCAAAATAAACTTACGAAGATACTACTTGAAAACCTCATTTATGAGTGATTGAAATATTGAGGGAGCATTGGAAAGGCCGAAAGGCATCACTAGAAATTCATATTGCCCTCGATGAGTTCGAAATGTAGTCTTGGATATGTCCGGAGGGTGCATTCTAATTTGGTGATAGCGCGATTGTAAGTCAAGCTTGGTAAAATATCGTGCCCCATGTAGTTTATCTAGTAGCTCATCAATGATAGGAATGAGAAATTTACTTGTTATGGTGCTTTGGTTTAAGGCTCGGTAGTCTACACAAAATCTCCATGACCCATCATGTTTTTTTACTAGCAAAACAGGTGAAGAGTATGGACTCTAACTAGGTTGAATGACCCCCATAGTAAACATGTTTAACATTAATTTTTCTATCTCATTTTTTTGAAACCGGAGATATCTATAAGGCCTTATAACAATAGGTTAGCTTTTAGGTTTAAGAACTAAATTATGATCTTGGGTTTGAGGTGGGGGCGATCTACTAGGCTCTTGGAATACATCCTTATAAGAGTGTAGTACATGATCTAATTGTGTAGGAATTTGTAAGGGAGAAGAGTTACCAGTTGAATTTTACATCGAGAGAGTAAAAATCTACAACGAAACCCCTTCTCGGCCTTCTTCCACTCCTTAGACATTTTTTGCACTTATAACATCCGAATCTTCGAAGCATCTAGTCCATCGAGCACAACCTCTCAGCCATCTACCATAAACTTCATTAATAGATTAGAAAAATCCCATATAATTGGACCTAAAGTGCACAACCACCGGGCACCCAAAACCGCTTCACAACCAACTAAAGGCAACAAGTAAAAATCAACTACAATAGACACGCCTTGAACCATAAGTGCAAATCCCCTTACATCGATCCGAGCTCCGAATCTTCTCACTATTCGCTATTGCCACCGTGAAGTTTCCTTTACAATTGGGAACAATACCCAATTTTTTAGCCATCTTTATATTTAGGAAATTATGAGTACTTCCCGAATCAATGAGAAGGGTAAATTGATGGTTACCTAGGTGAGCCAAAACTCTCATGGTTTGTGGGGTTTGTGAGCCCCAAATAGCATGAAGTGAAATTTCTAGGGTCTCCTCCATATTCTTAATCTCCATATCTACATCATCTTCCTCTCGCCTCGGCCAACGTCTTTTAATAAGAAATGACTTTTTACAATGATGCCTAGGACTAAACTTTTCATTGCGGTTAAAAAGCAAACCCTTGTCCTTCCTTTCCTTGAGTTACGTCGAGCTTAGCCTTTTAATGGTCATTGGGTTTGAATTAATAGTAGTAGCTCGATTGGTAATGGGCCTACGAACTTCAACTTGGGTGGTTCTGCGTGAAGGTTATTCTCGGGCTTCATACAACCTTGCTAACCCAATGTCGGCAGTGAGAGTGGGTGGTTTGCAAGCTTGCACATCCGTTTTAATATTTTCCTTTAAGCCGCTCTCAAAGCAACCAACCTCGTTGTGCCGGTATTAGCTTTTCTACTCTAATCAAGAATTTTTCAAACTGGTTTTGGTACTCCTTAATGGAACCAGTTTGCTACAATTTTGTTAAATCTCCAAAAAAATCTTGAAATTGAGTGGGACCATACCTATTGTGAAGGCTTTGTGTGAAGGTCTCCCATGTGATTTCGGTGCCATCCTCCTTCATTAGTTAAAACCATAACCGAGCATCCCCTTCTAGACTAAAGAAGCCAAGGGTACCTTTTCCTCTTCTAGTGTTTGGTGAAATTCAAAGAACTAGACAACCCCGCAAATCTAACTTGTCGGGTCTTCCAACCCATCAAGCATGAAAAATCAAGCTTCACCATCTTAGGCAAATATTAGGTAGTTGATCACTCGCCATTGAATGCTCGCTACTAACAACACGAAAAGTAGAATTCCAGCTTCAATTATTAGAGCTTTCACTAATTTCATGACTCGGGTTAGTCATGGTTGAATCCGGCATTCATTGCAACAAATATTTCATGCATTTCCTTGAGGATTTTCTCCTATCCCGTGCTCAAGCTACCGAGTTTAGCCTCTAAACGCCCTAGACGTTCGTCGCTACTCCTTCATGCCAAGCTCTAATACCAATTTGTTGCGTTCGACGGTGATAGATCGAGTGGTTGGTCTAGCAAAAGGTGGAATATAGGCTGATTTGGGTTGGTCTTTCACCTTTTTACTATGGTGAATGGAAAAAAGTCGAGAGGATATGATAATAATAGCAATGCGAGTATGGGTAAAAAATAGTATGAAAAGAAAGAATGATTGGGTTTACTTTGAAGGAAACCTATACCTTCTTAGACACAGTAAGATGCTTAATTCAACTCCGCCTTTTCTCATGAGAACTTACAAATAAATAAACAAAACTCAACAACTTATTCCTAAACTCCAAGCAACAATATCTCCTACTAATCTCAACAACCCATCCTAGAAACATGAAATAACTTAAACAAAATCAAATCGTAACAACTACTTAGAAGACTTATTTAAAGTCCCTACTTTATTGTGAAATACTAACATCAATAAAAAGTCGGACGTCTTAGACATAACACAACGAATATTAGTTGATGATTTTAGGACTTTGAACTTTGATTTTGTAAAATGATACATTATTCAATAAAATAACTTTTATTAAGTAATAATAAAAAAATTTTACCATACAAACACGTGCATCAATGGATTTTTTTTCTTTTTATATATATTTTATAGATGGTCAGTTATTTAAAATTTATAAGATCGATATTTTACTATTTAAAGATTAAAACATATAGGGAGATTTAATATTATAATTTTGTTTGTACATTGTTTTACTTTATAAGTAAATACAGATCGAAAAAGTTAGCTTCGCAAGGGACTATCCATTTGTTTAAATCCATTGATATTAACTATTAAAAAAAAACATTAAAATAAAATGAGTTTCTAGCATTCACAACATTATTTATGATCTCAAAAATTACTATTTATTTTACTATTTATAACATTGTTGTAATTTTCAAAATATTCTATGACATTTGATATACAATATTTTATATTTTTAAAAATATTATATTTTGATTCTTAATTTTTTTATATAGTTTTTTTTTTTATTTCAAGCTTTATTTGTATCATAATTTGATTTTTAAATGTAAAGAAGAAAGAGAAATGGCGAAAGAGAGGCATTGTAGAGACTCATTCTATAAAAAAAAACGCATTGTCTGTTTTTTAGAACTCACTCACGCAAGCTTTGCTTTGCTTTTTTTTTCCTCTCTCTTTTTTTCAGTATTTTTTTTTATTGATTTTTTTTTTTGTAAAATACAAAAAATCGATCATAATTGTTTTTTTTCACAACCTCGAGATATATATTAAATTTTTGGAACACACGATATCCAACAAATATTTTGAAGCAGTCAGAAGCAATGCCATTTTCTATCACGTATGCACATCATGATATGTTCACATGAATCCAGTACGTTAAATAATTTTCTCCCCCAGTCCGGTTTGTTCAAATAAAGTAATTTTTCTTGAACCATTTGAGACCGTGACTGTTTAATTGTTTAATGAATTGTTAATGAATCGATGCAACCAATGTAAATAAACTATTCTACTGCAATTGTATATTATATTACATTGGATTGCAATGGGAGATCTCACAATATGTCATAATTCACAAAATTAAGGATATTAAAAAAAAAATAGTACTTATAGCATCACCATTGACAAATTTTTTTACGATACATGGATCTATTTTTGTTATACCTATGAGTATTTATAATTTAATCCTTCCTCATTACTCAATCAGGGATGGCAATTTGCCTCTTTCCATCGAAGCCTCACCCCGCCTCGTCCTGTTTGGAGCGGGGATGGTACTCAAAATTTCGTTTCGAATAGGACATGGGATGGGGATAGGGTGAAATTTTTTGAGACGTGATGAGGATGGAAATGGCTATTCCCATCTCAAAATTTTACTTTTAGAAATGACAATTTGACGAAACTTACTTCATCTCGTCTCGTTTGAAATAGAAATGATATTCAAAATTTCACTCCAAACGAGACATGGACGAGGATAAGGCGAAATAGCTATCCTCGCCCGTGCCTCGTCCCTTTGCCTTCCCTATCCTCATTGGCTCGTTCATAGGTTCGTTCATAGGTCAAAATAGAAATATAGTAAAATATCGAGGGACATAGATAAATAAAACACCTCGTTTGGATCTACTTGCAAACTTTCCATTGGAGAGGGAGACATAAACATAAGACAGTAAAGACACTAATCGCAGGAGCAAGAGAATTCGAAAGCTGGGAAAAAGAACTTGGAATCATCAACAGACACAACACATTGAGACTTGAGAGAGAGAGAGAGACAGCGAGTATGATAAAAGCGGTGCTGGTGATTAACACCCAAGGCAAACCTCGCCTTACCAAATTCTATGATTTTTTGGTAACTGTTTTTCTCTTTAACAAACTTTCTTCTCAAAGATTCACAAAAGCTTTTACAATTTTGTTTTCTTTTCATGATGTCAGAATGTAGAGAAGCAGCAAGACCTTGTACGCAGTGTATTTGGAGGTTGGGACTGATCTGATAACCATTTTTTTTTTTTTTTTGCAGTTCTGTTAATGATTTGTGTCATTTCTGATTCTGGGTTTCGATTTTTATGTGCCATAGTGTTATGTAGTAGAGCTGATAACGTTAGCAATTTCATTGAGGCTGATTCAATCTTCGGCCCGGTAATTTTTCTTTTTTGTTTCATTTCTGAATCTTGATTTTTTTTTTTTAATTTTTTCTTTGCATTTGGATTTTCTATGATTTTTCTGTTCTATGTGGGCAGGATAGTCGTCTTGTGTACAAACATTATGCAACACTGTACTTTGTCTTTGTGTTTGATAGTCATGAGAATGAGCTTGCGATGCTTGATCTCATACAAGGTACTCCCTTTACTAATCATTGATTCAAATGATATTAAAAAAATGGATTATTGCAAAATGATTGATTGATTGCTAGTTATTATCATTTGGAAGGTAGGTAGATGGTAGAGAAGCTGATGGATTTTGAAAATTTTGAAGTATTGAATGAACTTATGATTTAGCTGTGAGAAAGATGCAACGAGGCGGAGCGTAATGGCATTGAATTGTATAGAATTGAATTTTGATATTGTTAATAGTTGATAAAGGAAAATCTTAAGGAAAACTGGATGTTTCGATATATCAAATGCCATCAACTGATTTAATTGCATTTTTTGTTCATTTGTTAGTCAGCTTTATGGTTTATGGTCTGAAGATTTATTGTTATTTGAAGTGGGCTTTTTTGTATAGTCAAAAAGAGGTTGTTTTAGCCCTTGAAATGGTACGGTTGATAACTTTAGGACCCTTTTTAAATTTTCGATAACTCTTGGGATCATTTTAACCTATGTTATGAAGACAGAAGATTAATTTTATTGGTCATGTTCCACCCAATTCTATACAGTGTATAGGTCAATTGTTGTGACAAATATAAGTGCTTCCTTTATTTTATTGCTAGCATGGCTTTGTGGTTGTTGCTTATGTAAACCCTTCGGCCTTCAGTTTTTGTGGAAACACTGGACAAGTGCTTCAGGAATGTATGCGAGCTTGACATAGTGTTCAATTATAGCAAGGTATGTGGATTCCCCATTCCCCCAATGCACTTGTGTTACATTTACTACCAATAGTGCTTTGGGAATTTAGGTTTTATACTTCTAAATGGAATAAAGAAAATGGACTCAACGAGCATTATTGTATTTCAAGTTCCACAGGATAGGTGGGCATGCATTTCAGAGATTTTATTGCCAATTGCTTGTGAAAATCTCCAACATCAGATCAACTTGACTATTTCTTTAGGAGTTTTCATTTGATCGTGTAACCTGAAGCTCTTAATGTTCTATTTTCGTTGAACTAAGCTTTTGGTCATTCTTTGCAGCTCCATACTATGGTAGATGAGATAATTTTAGGAGGTCAAGTGCTGGAAACAAGTTCTTCAGAGGTTATGAGAGCTGTTGAAGAAATATCAAAGTGCTCCCTCCCTCCCTCCTGTGTGTACTTTTATTGCCCGTTATCTATGATGAGTTAATGGATTATACCTACATTGATGCAGGTCAGAAGCAGCCTCAAATTCTATCTCATTGGTCCCTAAAAAAGTTTCTGGTTGGCGGAGCCGGTAACACATTCTTTAGAATGATGTTGGAATACTGTGGGCGCTCTCTTCAAAATGCTATAGCAGTCATACTCAAAGTTGTTTCTAAGTAGTGTTGTGTTCATTATGTGAGCTCTTGCAGTAATCGGAGTTTGATGCGCTAGCAATTCTTTCAATGCTAAACAGAGATTTAGATTCTAGATCTGTCGTTAACTACTTTGGTGAAAATTGACTGCTGAAGGCCAGTCCAGAAAATCTTTGTATTGCTGCTGTTTGGTTTATGATCTTTCCATTTGTAATCTCAGTACATTATCGTATTGAACTGGGCCTTTTCCGGCATTTCGCCGGCATCTGCAGGTCTAGGTTATATGCCTATTTTGATTTTGGATGTCAATTGCATTAAGAATTGCTAAGGAACGCCTTACTTTTTTTAACTATTGGACGGGCCAAAGACCTGAAGTGTATTTTAAGGATATAACTATTCTTTAGTGTATTTTAAGGATATAGTTAGGAAATAGAAAACAGATCAATCATCAAGGAAAGAACTTATTCATCTGATGTTATTGTTACTGTGCTCTGTAGAGATACAACAATATAAATCAACAAACAATGGGTTCAAGGTTTTTTAACATCTTGAAGAACTACATGCGCAGCATTACGCCCTGGTGCACCCATCACACCACCCCCTGGATGGGTTCCACTTCCACACACATACAGTCCTTGGAGAGGGGTCCTATAGCTTGACCTGTATTGCCGAGAAGAATCGAATTTGATTTGAATATCATGCATGAATTTTGTTTTTTTTTTTAATCAGAAATGACATTCAATTACTCTTAAAACATCCATCTGTTAGAAATTACCATCCTTTCACTGGTCGCATGAGGAAAAGAGAATCCAATCCCATAGCACCATGGAATATATTCCCTCCTGCAAGAAACCATTCGAGTATCAGGAAACTCCATAACTTATCAAGAATCTAGAGCGCAGTGAAATTAGAAACTGATTACACAAAATCAGAAAAGAAACGAAACAATTAACTTTTAAAACTTGTGTTTAGTGGGGTAATGAACTTCATATCGGTGAGGACCCAGTTCTAATTATAGAAGGGCAGTGACTTCGTGCCTGTATTCCTTTTCTCATTCATTGTTAACTTCAGTTTACAAATGGCATCCCAAAGCAGGTATTTGGGGCCAGAAAAGGTACCTGTAAGACCAATTTCCCGTTCAAGATCTGGTGGAGTCAACATGTCATAGCCAATGATTGATGAGCTGAACCCTGGGGCATATTCCCCAAGCAAGCTAAAACATCTTTGTGCAAATGTTTCCTACAAAACAGATCATTTTTTTTTCAGTTTCAAAAGATTAGACAATAAAACGAACATGTAGTACATTCAACTCCATGAAACTTGCACCTTTTACTCGACGGAAGAGGGAATTGTATGTAGCACATGCTAAGAAATTAGAAGCATCATCACAAATAAAACATAAGACTGCAATAACTACTAGCTGATATTTGTAAAAGAAGAAAAAGAGATTTTTCTTCGAAAGGAAAAACTTGGGCTGGTAAAACAGAAGGAATTGAATTATGAAAGGCTCAGAGTCATCACTGAAGTTCCCAACCGGGGAAGTAGAAGATAAAATTTCCACAATTTAACTTACTCTATAAGCAGCATCTCCCCAGCTTCCATCTGATGGCTTATAGGGTGTGTATTGAACAAACAAGTTGATCACATGTTTACCTGCAAAGAGAGTGTAAGATTCCGATGCTCTTGTCCAATACAGGAAGATTACAACATATTTAAGTTGCAACAAAAGCAAAATTTCATGTACCAGGAGGAGAAATAGTTTTGTCCAATACAGAAGGAATTGTCATTTCGATAACTGGCCTTCTTGATGGTACCCCATTGACAGCATCTTGACAAGCCGAATCAATCTCCTCCATACTTTTAAGGAAAGACACAGAACAAAGTAAGGCTGGTGCAGTGGATTGTCAATTCTTCATTAAGGTATTAAAGTCAAATCTAATAATAATAGGTGGTGATGATTTGTTTGCAGGATCATCCAGTCATGTTTTACAGTTGTGGGTAGTTATCCACTGGACTAGATGTTTTTTACCAGCTACCATTGTTACCAAGTAATCCTTAACCCTAATGCCCAGAATTTTTTGCATAATTACCAACTTTTTCCCAGCCTAATGTCACTAGTAGAAGAATCAGCAGAAACAAGTTAGCTGTTCAGCAGACACTGCCAAACTTCCTATTTCAATTCTAACAAATAACAAACTGAAACACATTACACAAGCAGCAGCAATAAAAAAGCAGGCTGAATCAATCAATTAGGTCACCATGCAAGTTCCACAGTTGTCTCCCTGCATTGAGATCAGCTAGCAGATAACTAGAAGAAAATTTTGGCCTACAATTAGGTTATGATCCTTCTCTATTCGGGGTTTCAAGTCCCACTTTAAAACTTAAAAATCAAAGTCATACACTACACATTGGTCAAGAACCAACAGAACGGTACTATGGATCCAATAGGATACCTCTCTGAACCAATATGAATAGTGCCCATATGCTGAGGACCAGCATCAGGGTGATTCAACTTGCAGCACTGAAATTGGGGAAGTTTATCAACAGCTAAATTTATCTTTGTAGTTGCCTGTTTCAGTGTGCGGAACCACAAAGATTACGTCTAAATAGAATCAAAGTATGCATATATGACAGCAATTTCAAGTAAAAGGAAATCAAGCTTACAGAGCTATAGTCAGAGTACTTCACGGCACGGGTAAAATCATCAGGAAGGGCATTATTAGGAACTAACTCCTGTGCCATAAATTCATAATACATAACCAAAATCAAAGTTTGTTTAGGACACAAGTAAAAAAAAAAAAAAAGGCTTGATATAATTGGCATTCCCCATATCACTTTTAAAAATTCAATGAGATATTCATCTCAGGAAAATTAGTGATGGGTAAACAGGATTAAAATTTTACCATGAAAGTTTTATAAGGAGTGGCATTTGACAGAACAATTGGAGAGAAAACTTCTGTACCATCAGCCAGTAATACCTAAATGATTTGATCATGTTCACCATATCTGATTAGTTTGATTTGAGCTTCTAAATGCACTTTATATATAGAGCTGCTTAATGAACTAACCCCATTCACTGTGCCAGAATCCTTGATCATCAATTGTGAAACCTGAACAAAGAAGAGAAAATATCAAAGATAGCCTAGACAATTCCACAAGGGACCAATGCAAACAGCTAAACACATGAACAAGTGAAGGTTAGGAAATGAAAGCATGATTGACTCTCAACTTACATGACAGTGATTGATGAATCAATATAACTTAGCTAATGAAGTTCAAAAATTTTACCATTCACATCATTATTGCATTTCAGAAGTAGCATAAAAGATTCAAGTTAATCTCCAAAGCGTAACAGATGCTAACAAGAACATAAAAAGCCATATTCACGTAGAGAAAAGAAATGATTTCAAAGTATCATGAATTAACTTCAGCTGAGTTGGCATTGAGAGAGCTGCTAAACCTCAGATTAAAAGGTAGGAAGTTCAGGGACAAACAATCAGTTATCCATCCAAAGATAGCTACTTTCTTTTTCAGATCTATACTGTTAGTGTCTTCATAAGTAGCAGGTAACTTAAGAATGATAGAGTAATTCAATCAAATATACCTCTGCACTTGTCACAATATGAGCACCGGCTTCCCTAGCAGCATTAGCAATAGAAGAGGATACTGAGCCCATCCCACCTTCGACATACCTACAAATATATGACTTTCATGTATAATTGCTGACAAATGTAGCTCTTATAATATGACAGACACAACATATTTTTTATACATCTGAAATCAACACATGTGAGAGGAACAATATGTAAGGTAACAAGAAAAGATATGGGTTAAATGAATTAAGTTGAGACTTTAGATGAAGCCAAAGATGTGAATTAGTTAAATAAGATTAAAGTAACTTCATTTCATGTGCTTCAACATAACAATCCTTATGTTTCACAGACAGAACATACGCGTCTTGGAGGTACTCTCAACTCAAAATGAAAGTTTGACAAGGTTTACTTGTTAAACTGATGGACAATGCACAAACCTTTCTCTTTTCAAAGACGGAATGACTACACTGGGATTAAAATACCGCGTCACAAGTTTTTTAAAATTTGGTTTTCCTGGCTTGGTTTAGTTAGATTTGTCTGGTTCCAGATTCAAAAAGTAATAGGTGACTACTGGTACATGACACATTAGAGCAACAAAAAATAAAGAGATCTAGACAATTTACAGCTTTCTATTTCTGTGATGGACAATCAACACATCAAACCGGCAATGGAAATACATACGACCAAATTCCACGATCCCCATCAGTTTCTCCCATCATGTGATGTAGCAAAACATATCCACTCCCTGGTGTATGGACACTTGCCTGCAATATATATTCAGGAAACCAAAAATTTGGTTAAATCTACAGCATTAACTCTCTTCTTCTGAACCACATCCATCCCATATTTTCATCATTAGAGGAGTATGTTAATGGGTATGCCTGGGTGTGTTTTACATGAAATGAACTAAATCCAAAACTAAATCTTCACACTCGTGCTGGATTCTTACTGTAGAACCTATCACAGCATCTGTTGCAAGAGTTGCCTTTAGGACATCCGTCTGTAAATTCAGCAGCAGAAAATCAATAAGCCAAAAACCATAACACACAACAAAGATTTAAATCCAATGCATATTATAAACAATACCATACTTATAAAGCAAATGTAATCACCAAAAACTTCATCAAAATAAGTTGCAAAGATTTTGTTACCACTGCGGAAAAATAAGTGACATCCACTCAAAATAGCATACTCCAAACAGTTTTTATTTTATTGTTGACTTTGAATCTTGAACACATTATGAGCATACCACATATAAACAAATGAAAGGAATCAACAAAAAACCCTTCTAAATTCCATTCTACGAATTAGAGAATAAAATATTAAAAAAACTAGTTAGATAACAAACCTCAAACCATTTATTCAAAACCTTCGAAGCCGGAGATAACAAAAGGTCCATAAAGTCCCTGCCGAAATCAACAAACACATACTATCATTCAGAGTTTGAATACCATCATTCCCAGTTCTTCTTTTGTTACTTAATTTTACTAGCTAACTAAATCCATAGGCTTTGATCACCAAAAGAGCTCTTACACCAAATTTTTTTGCCCTAATGAGAGAGCTTGCCGCAAAAATCTTGCCCAAAAAGCCGATTTTTGAATTCTGTCTTTCAATCGATCATTAAAAGACGCTACATTTTGCGCAGTTTCTGGTGGTGGTGAATCCAACAATGGATCCATCAACTTACAGAAATTCTCTAGCTGCTTCTCGTATCTGCATTTGCCAATTTTAACAAAAATATCTAAAAATTAATAAACAAAACCAACCATTTGTCTCAAAAGTAAAAACTGATTAAAAAGAAGAAGAAGAAGAAAGAAAGAAAGAAAAGAAAAGTAATCAATTAGCATAACCATCAAGTGATCGGTTTAATTGAAAATGATTACCTGTGGTAAGCATTAGCGTCATTAACAGAGAACTTAGAAATCTCCGAATGTGTATCAGGCCCTAATAAAAGATACTTTCCATCTAAACACGGCGTAAACGACGACGGATTCCTCTTAAACAACTTCAATCCATGCCTCTCTAACTCCAACTCTCTTTAAACGCAGATAGATAACGATCAACAAAACGACATGTTAAACGCAAACTTCAACAATTAAAAAAAAGAAAAAAAGAAAAAGAAAATTACTTGATGAGTGAAGGACGGAGGAGACTTTGGAGATAACTACAGCGAGAGAACTTGAAGCCTGGAATTAACTCCTCTGTCACAGCAGCTCCGCCGATGACGTGGCGGCGTTCAAGAACCGCAACGGAGAGGCCGTAGCGAGCTAAATAAGCAGCAGCTGTTAAGCCGTTGTGGCCGGCGCCGATCACCAGCGCGTCCCATTTCTTGTTCTTCAGTGCGGTAGAGGCATTGGTTGCAGTGCTAAAACTCCGTGGCCACATTACGGTGTTTCTGTCTGCATGCGATTCTTAAATCGGGCAGGACAGTGGAGTGGAGTCAGCAGGAGAGGAGAGAGTGAGGTCTGACGTGGAAATGGAAACTACTTTTACCAGCTAGCCACTGCCTGTAGTGGCATGTAGGGATTTCAATGGATACCGTTGTTATGGTTTTGAATATTCATTCGCTATTTTTTGTCCATCAAGTCGGAAATTTAAATATTCATACATTATTAATTATTTATAAGATGAGAAATTTAGATATTTATACACTATTTATGAGGTTTTGGATATATATATATACACACACGTGTGTGTTAACTGAAAAAGAATTTTGAATATTCATATTCAATCCGCAATAATAACTATCTATAAAAAAATTTTTTTTACTTGTTCAACTCGGTTCATATGGTATCCGTCAAGTTCCGATGGCATTTATAGAAATAGTAAAAAACAATCAGCCGCGATCAATTCAGAGTAGGGATGGCAATGGGGTGGGGTGGGGCGGAGATCACTATCCCTACCTGCGCCTCGCTCCAGTAAAAATTCTCCATCCCCGCCCCATGCTCCGAACGGGATAGAATTTACCATCTCATCCTTGTGCTCCGAACAGGGCAGAATTTGCCATCCCATACCCGCTAGGGATGAGCAAACGGTTTGGTTAACCGAAAATCGAATAAAACCGAACCAAATTAAGGAATTTGGTTCGATTTTAAATTAAAAATTATACAATTTAAAATCGAACTGAAAAACCAAAATTATTTCGGTTTGGTTCGGTTTTTGAAAAAAAAATTCGATTTGAACCTAAAATCGAATTGAAGAGTAAAAATTGAAAATTTCCTAATTTGATTTTAAATCCCTAACCCTGAGTACAGAGTACCTGGCTGCCAAACACAAACTTCAGTCTCTTCTCTCAAGATCTCACACTATCACTCTCGCTTTTGACTTTGTTAACATTGAAACCCTCACTGTCACTGACTCACGCGATCATCATCCATCAACTCATCTCATCGTCCACTTGCCACTGCCTACTGGTTCTCCTTCTGTGAGTCTGTCTTGTCTTCTTCCCTCTTGTATTCTTTCCTAATCTCCTTCGGCTTCGAGCTTCATTCCCTTCTTCTCCACTCTCAACTCCAGTTTTTCAGGCTCTAGTTTGCTCTAGTTTGTCTTGTGACTTATGAGTTCAACTCACTGAGTTGTCTTGAACAAGTCATTTTCAATTGGGATTGTCTGCAAATGTGAAATGTTAAGATTCCTTTTCTTCTTCTATTTGGTTCTATGGATTTGATTGTTTATATTTCAGATTTGATTACGCATATTTCATATAAGGAAACCCATTTTGTGTTTTCTTGAATGATGCTCATTTCATTGCTTAATTTTAAAACTTTGTGCGTATGTTTTGTCATTACATAGCTGCTGTTAATGTTGATTAGTTAAGTTTTTTCTTGATTTTGTTTTGCTTTGATTAGCTACTCGATAAATCAATAAAGATCCCAATATTTTCAATGAAGATAGAACTTAGGAGGTTGTATATTTGATAGAATTTTAGAAAGGTAATTCAAAATTTTTCTTGATCAAGGTTCTAAAGTTCTTGAATTGAAGAATGTAATCATCGCAAATGAAGTAAATGGGTTGAATTTTGGTTGTATATTTGGTGTTACTGGCTATCTGGCATACTGCCCATAACCAGAAGGCTGTATATTTGGTGACAGTGTTACTCTTCTGAATTATAATGCCGGTGTTTCACTGTTTTGATTAGGATCAGTCTCCTACCTTAGGCTGTTACCATATTTTTTTGCCCTGAATTGGAACGTGTCTTGGTAGGCAGTAAGCTAGCATGTCACATTCTTAAAATGCTAAAAGGTTAGACCCGACCCTTAAACCTTAGACTTTATGTGATTTGAAAATTATGATGGTTATATGGATTTGCATTCTTCTGAAATATAAATATTTGAATGTAAGATTCTCCCATGCTGGAAGTAGTTTTCCCTGAGAATAACTTCATGTTGGAGATATAGATGCAGCTTTTCTTGCCATTGAATTTTTCTTATTCAATGTTTACTGTAACATTTAATTGAGGGCATCAGATATATTTGCTGTTGGAATTTGAAATTGATTTTAGGTTTTCAGAAGGCTCGTTTTCATTTTCAACTTTTGTTTTATGATTATAATTGAATTCTTGAATTAGTCTATCCTTTTTAAGGAAATTTTGTACTCTTTCATGTAAAAGAATTTTGATGACTATAACCTACTAAGGCATACTCTAGAGAACATTCTTAGAACTGCTGTTAGAGGTCATCTTCACTTCTGATGGGAATTTTTTCAGTCAAAGTAGGTATAGCACACGAAGAAAAGATTGTACTGCATCATTTTTTTCTAAGGCAAAAAATTCGGTTAAACCGAATTATTTCGAAACCGAACCGAAATAATTCGGTTTCGAACCGAATTAATTTTGGTTTGGTTTTGGTTTTCATTTTTTCCTAATTCGGTTAATCGAAAACCGAATTGAATTTTACCTAACCAAACCGTTTAACCGAATGCTCACCCCTAATCCCCACGGGGCAAACGGGGCCCTGTTTTATTGTTTGTGTCCGTCCCGCTTCGCCTCATTTTGCCCCGTTTTAATAGATTTTATAATGAGCACATACAATTTGTATAATTTTGTTTCTCAAGCAAGAGATCAAATCACACGAACTCTACTATGAGTCACCGTTGACGGGGCAAAACGGGGCGAGGTGGGCAAATCCCATCCCCGCCCCATCCCGGTCCAAAAAAATTACGGGGCGACCTCAAGTTAGGTCATTTTGCCATCCCTAATCCGAGAGGTACATGCATTTATTATTTTAGATTTTTCTTGTTATCAAGTTTTTAATTTGTAATTTTATATTATAGTTTGACAAGTGAGCTAGGGTTTAAGGGTAAAATTAATTTTATTTTTATTTTTATATCAAGCTTGGGCTATTTAATTTACGAATGGACTTTTAGTCCTGATTTTAACATTTTTAATTGGACTTTAATAATCTAATGATAAATTAGGTTAGAGACTGATTTTTTTTTAATGTTTTCAAATCAATTCATCTAAAATTAGTTAGAAAAAATCCAATAATAATTCATAATTTAGAATAGAAAAATTGACGTAGATTGGACTTTGCATAAAAAAATTATCATAAGTTAGAATTGAGCAATAACATCATTACGAAAACATATTAAGGTGATTGTTTTCTTTCATACATAAATACTCTTTTGTTCTCCATACTTGCTCTAAAGATATCCTCTTTGATGACTACTAGTCTTTGCTCTCATCAAAATGGTGATTTTATAAAAAATATATATCAAGCAATGGAAAAAATGAAAATATTCAATAATAAAAATCTTATAATTTTAGTACTTGATCGATAAAATATTAAGTTTAGAAACCTAAATGAGAATTGGTAGATGTTTGAGGACTAATATAATATTTCCGTTGAAAGAAGTATGACAGGCCCAGCAATGAAACAGAAAAGCCTAGAAAAGCATTCCTGGCCCAACTAAGAAAAGAAGACGAACAGAAAAAATCAGCCCAAGAACAACATGGGTCTTCGAATTCTCGGCGACTCGGCGGTCGATTTGCGTGTTTCGTAGAATCATCCGTCCTAGGAAAAGTCAAAAAATGAGAACCAGTAAAAGAAATGAGAAACAACGAAAGAAGAAGGGTAACAGCCTCACCATTTTACAGTACAATCCTTCTTCATCAAAATCAAGCCTGACAAACAATCCAAATCTCTGAATCACAAGAAAAATGGGGCTATTCGCTATGACTTTAGCTGGTGGTGGGTTTATTCTGATTGGTGCATGGGAGTCTCTCACATCTTCAACCGCGAACGAAAACGATAACCCAATTTCAATTCCATCTTCACCGCCGACTCAAATACCCAAATCAGCGGCTGAAAGAAGCACGAACCGATCATCCTCTTCTGTAACTTACATCACCGTCACCATCTTCTCACTTCTCTTCATCGTCAACTCTCTAATCTCCCTCTTCAACGCTGTTGACTCACAAGATCGAGTTGGCTCAGCCCTCCAACTACAGATGCTAGCTGTTGCGGCGCTTTTCTTGTTATACTCGGTTTTGGGTCTTATATCGAATTTTTCAAGCTTTGTTCATTTCCCTTCTTCAATCCTTAATTTGATTGTTTTGTTCGCATTTGTTGAAGAGTTTTTGTTGTTTTATATGCAAAGAAAGGACACAAGTGGAACTGGGATCGAGAACAGGTACTTCGATCTTATGCTTGTGCCCATTTTGATTTGTGTGGTTTCTACGATTCTTGAACTGAAATCTCCGGAGAAATCGAATGAGTATCCAAGATTGGCACGTGGGATTGGGTTGATTTTGCAAGGGATGTGGGTTGTGCAAATGGGTCTTTCTTTTTACACCAATTTGATTGTTCATGGTTGCTCTTTGCACGAAAAGAGTAGAGGGAATTACAGTATCAAATGTAAAGGCCACCCTGAGTATCATAGAGCTAGAGGAATCGCTACTCTTCAATTTAATTGCCATCTTGCTCTGCTCGTGGTTTCCTTGATGAGTGTCTACTCAATTATGGCTAAAAATTATGGGGTTCGTGTTGATTCTATGCGGTATAAACCTCTTGGAGCTGAGATGCAGCAAATGGAGAATCGTGGGCGCTTCACATTGGATTCCGATGATGATGAGATTAGAGAAGACGATCATGTTACTATGAAGAAAGGGGTTATGGGGGTCGTTAATGGTTTTGGATCTCATGAATGAGGTAATTTATTTATATTTAGATTATCAGCTCATTTTTTCATCATCTTTACTGGTTTGTGGTTTCCTTATTATATATATTTTTGTCATTGTTCCTTTCATGGTGTCTCATCATTCTTTTTTTTGGTAAAGGAAATTTGAATGAAAAAAGTTTTGTTATCCTTTGTGATTGACGTTTCCATTCAACATGGTTGTTAATATTATTTAGGATTGTTACAATTTCTAATTTTTATCTGCTAATATGGATGATTTCATTCAAGATAAGTAAGGAAAGTCATGGTTTTGTGCATTTGAATATCACTAATATTGAACAGGTCCATTAGAATTGTCGAATTTTCCTGCGATTAAGATATCTGGAAAAAAAAAAAAGCTATTAAGATACAACTCATATAACTACTATTAAAGATGGACGTCAATTGAATTGTGTACTGCCCAATTCTTTTGGGGGTGAATCTGTTCAGTTGGAACAGCTTTCTTCTTGTGCTTATTTGACCGACCGATTTGCATACAATATGGCCATCCTGTTGAGGAAATGCATTCCATGGCTGAGAACCATAGCTGGTCCTCTTATCATGGTAATTAATCTGGCATGTAAGTTGTCATACTTTGGGCCAACAATGACCATAGCTGTTATAGTGTCAGGCATGAATCCCACTCATTCACTTAGTTTTTGCTTTAAGTAGTTAGTCATACTTTGACAAGTGATTCTGCAATATTGAAATGATGGCTTCCAGAAATATAACTGATATAAAACAACCATAGTAAAGCATTTCTTTGTTTCTATGTTTTTCCCTATGACCATCAAACTAAAGAGACCAGACATACCCAATTTGTAATGTAGGTTCACACTCCAAAAATGAAAGAGCATACCCTACATCTTCTGCACTTGGATTCAACTGGAGTTAATTTACTTGGTGGCCTCCTATCACCTGCAAATTAAGCATATATATAGGAACCAATGTCTCATCACATTCATGTTGTTCTTCGTAGGGGAGATTGAATCGATTGGACTAATTCATGTTCAATCTGTGAAAAGGAACATATGCTTAGCAGTAATTTCTATTTTTATTTAACGCAGAAACTTCTGACATAAATTAACTTTAGGGGTTCCTGTTTCTAAACTAACTTCTTTCCACGTAATTTGGAAATATAACATACCCTCTCTTTCAGGGACTTATTAGCTGCATATAAAGAGCTAGAAAAGAAAATCAATAGACAACAAGGAAGCTTCAGAAGTTTTGATACCTTACGGTGTAGATCATTGAGCTGAGCCAGCATGTATTGGGTCTGTAGAACAGTAAGAGGAATTATGAAGTTACTGCTGAGTGTCAAGTGCTTTATTGCATGTGAAAAATACTTATTTGTATGCAGTGAAGTCAAGTTTTACGTTCAAGCAATTCTAACTGTAACTGTCTGTGTTCTATTCTGAGAATTTTACTTATTAATCACACTGCTAACTAATTAATTTGATAGTACATACGTTTACTTATGTCTTCAAAGTATACTCGAATAAAATACCATTGTTGATCTGATCTGTCTTTGCTTATTCAAGCCTCTACTTGCATTCAGTGGATTTTATAGGCACACAAGTAAGTTTTGAGTTATGTTCAATCAACTTGACTGATTACTTTGCTGCAAGTTTCATTTCAAAGTGTCCATTGATTGAACGATTGACACTGCATGTGTGCAGAAATATTCGACTCACTTGTATTTTGGTGCTCCTAAATCCTAATCTCAAGTTCTAAGACATTAAGGCCATTATTGAGTCAATCAGATTCAAAAATACCTCAGTTCTTGCAAATGTTTCGATGCAACATATTGGATTGGCATCTTCTTAATGTAGCGGGCTGGCTCTTGGGTCAAGGGATTCTTTTGTTTTCCTACATAATTTTGAAAAATCTTGCTTTTTTAATCATTTTTTTTTTGTTGGGGGGGGGGGGGGGGGGTTGTTGGGGGGTGGTTGTGTTGCGACAATAACATTTCTATCTTGAATTATTAACAGTTGATGGTTATAAAGTGTTTCAAGATGGTGGATAGCGGTGTTCAAAAGAGGATTAATTCATAGCTAGTAATTTGAGCCTAAGGATTCTTATGCTTCCCGGAATAGGGCTTGGATATGCTTGTCAGAGTGCGTTCAACCTTTGTTTGATTAGAAGCTCTCCTAATTTGAGAATATTATTGAAGATTGAGGTAGGTCTATTAATATAGATTTTGCTTTATATTATCATATATTACATTTTGAAAAATTTTGATTTGTTAGTAAACATATTCCACATTGAATAAATGCAAAAATATAAAATAATATTAAATATGTTGAATGGATCACCCATCTTAAAGCTTGTTAGCACCTAATTTTAATCTCAAGTAATTTAATTGACTTGTGAGTTATAATAATAATACAAAAAAAAGAGGGTTACTTGAAAAAAATTGATTTTTGACTACAATGGAAGAAAATTAAAAGAAGCGATCTTAATTGATTTCAATTAAAGGGTGTAATTAAAATGTAAGCAAATAAAATTATACCAAAATCAAAAATTGGGAGAAACCAAGGACAAAAAATAATGTTTGCTCAAAATCCTAATTTTTCCCAATATATACCCAATCCCTTTAGCCATTGATGCTGGATATGGATCTCATAAAAAAAAAAATAATAATAATAATAAATAAAATAAAAAATAAAAAATCTAGCTAAATAGCGATTAAGGAAAAACCATTAGACCCATATACTTATGGGTTGACCTAGTCGACCCGTCGAATTTCTTTTTTCAAATCGGTCATCCTTCAACCAATATTGCCTTCAATCAACACCCTCAATTGATAACTTACAACTAGATACACCATTCCCGATCGGTTGAAGAAGGAGGAGACGTTGGATTTGGTCGAATTAAGGAGAGAAGATCGATGGCCTAACCTTTTTAACAATCCGATTGAATCACCTATTTTGGCCAAACCATAGGCTGCGATCACCATAGAACTGGTCGTCCTTTCCTATGAGTGATTCTCCCTTGAAGTCATGGCCAAAAGTCATAAAAAAAGGACCTAATCTATGATGACTTGTTTCTCGATCCGTTTTGTGCAATCGGATAAAATCGATAGATTAAGACTAAATCAAATCTTCTACACCACCACAAAAACACTTTTCACGACCTCATGAGTCGATTAGTGTTCTCAAACTCTCTAATATTATCAAAATCTTCGTCGGGAAGAGAGAGAAGAGTGGGCCCTATTAGCAAAGTTTTAAGTTTTTTTTTCTAATAAAATTTAATTTTATATAATTCCAAAGGCTTAATGGTTTTGCAAAGATCGTTAACAGACCCTAAAATTTTATCCTTAAGGGAGTGCGAGTGTTCAGCATAAAAGCTAAATTTTTTTAGATGATATATGTTAAGGCAGTTGCATAATAAACTTTCAGGTTTGTCACTCTACATTTTTAAGTGGCCAAAAACCCGAAAATCAATTACTAGAAACTCAAAACTCTGCATATGTTTCCTTGAACAGACCCCAAGAGGTAGAGATGTCAAGTTTTGAAGGCACAAGTTCTGAAATGGATTTCATAAAAGCTTCTATTAGCCAATTCGCCTAGCTGGAGTCAATGCAGATCGGCCACTCTAAAGGAGTGAGTGCTGACCAAAAATTAACGTGTGTATATATCATTATGGTTGCGTGCTTTGTCTTAAATATTAATTCTAGTTTTATTAACTTGGGATTAGATCTAAGTCGTTTAAGGTCAAAAAAGGTAGATGAAGTGAACAGGTGCTTATAGGTGGAAACATGTTTTGTTTCTAATCATCGTAAGAGGGCAGAATAAAAATATCATAGGAGGCTAATCAATCTCTATGAGCAATTGATCGAGCGTGAAAATTCCTGGCCGAAAGGAAAAGACAAGCACGAGGAAAGCATTTGTCTCGAAACGACAAAAGTTTTTGTATCTCATAAATGTTGCAGACTCCAACTTAAAGCAATCTAAGTCACCTTGTTTTGTTTCGGGGGTTGGGAGATTCAGGCTAAAGGGAAGTAGATCGCATGTGGCAGGCAGCCATAATTAATTACGTGGAAAGAAGAAGAAGAAGAGGTTAGAAGAAAACAGAGGAGAGATTAGTGTTTAATTAATCAGTTATGTTACCACGTGGGTTAATAAAAATGTGCCAAAAAGTGTGTTAAAGCTTAAAAATGTTTTCATAAATGGAAGCTCTCATGGTAAACACGAGACATTGTCAAAATTCGTGGAGGCATAATCATTGTCAAAATCCCTAGATTAACCCTCACAAAAAGCAAAAGATCTTACCAGCACTCCTGAAGCATAGAAATATTATTGTCACATGATGTTAGGGCGGCAATAGGTTGCCATTCGATCCATTAATTCAACTTTTTTACTTTATTTATTAAAAAAAATATATTTTTTATTTACTATATTTTAAAAAACTATTATATAAATCTTTATTCAATTCATATATGGCTCATACTAGTTTATTCGTTCATTTAATAACTATTAAATACTCGTTAAATTTAATTTATAAAAAATATTCATTTTAATCATTGTAATTTTTTTTTAAAAAATTTATCCTTAATATATATATATATGAGAAACATTTTGGACTCTTTTTTTTATAGTTGACGGGAGAAAAAAAGAGAGCAATGGTGAGAGAGAGAAAACAAGGATTTTCTTGGATTTCTATATCAAAAAAGCAAGAATTTTTGGTGCAAATAAATATTATGATTTTATTTAATATTGATTTCTGAATATTACAATTATAGACAATTACGGTATTCAAGATAGTAATTTTATACATAATTAGATTTTAGAAAAACATAAAGATTTTATATATTTCAAATTTTGATAGTGAGATAGATTTAGTTAGAGAGATAAATTGTATGACTGTTAATACTTTTGTTTCTCAAGCTAACAAAAAAATTTGAGTAATTGTGTTATTTTCTTAATTACGGCGAATTATTTCTGAATTAATCTTGTAGTTTTTTCTTTTATAATAAAAAAATTATCTATGTAAATTCGATCTTCTCATGATTGTATTTTTATAATTAATTTATTTTATATTTTTTATTATTGTGTATATTTAACTTAATTATTTATTGAAAAAAATTAATTTATATGGAATGAGATTAAATTTCCAGAGGTAACCTCAAATTTGTAGAAAGCAATGATACACCGAGTTCTCAGCAGCGACAATCTTCTGTAGCAACGATGTGACAGTACAAAACCCAAACAGCCATCACCTCGTGAGCCAATTCCCTACAAAATCGCCAAATGAAAATCAAAGTGGCAGGAGAAATCAATCCATGGGCCCTCTAACAACATCGATTTTGTCTGGCGAAGGAAGCAAAATGATGAAGAAAAGAAAGGAAGAAATTAAGTCGCAGACAACAACTTTCTAGATAGCTATTTCTATTTTGTGTGAATAACAATTGATTAATATGTATTTTTAGACATGGGATATCTTAAAGGGTAATAATAATAATAATAATAACAATAGCAAGAGACAGTCAATTGTAAAAGGAACAGTACAAATAAACGTAAATGTGTTTGGAGTCGTAGTCTAGCGGTTGAGGGCTTGCCTGATGACCATTCGGGTTCGACTCTCTCTGCGCACGTCCGTCACTCTTGCGATGTCTTACCTATCTATTGGGCTTGCAGAATGTTCAATAGGTCCGAGGATTAGTCGTGATGTGAGCAAACTAGCTCGGACACTCGAGTTATCAAAAAAATAAAATAAAATAAAATAAAATAAACGTAAGTCCACAGTGATGTTGAGTCTTCCTGAACGGGAAAAGAAACAGTACTTGGTGATTCTATTTTAGTGTTTTTTTTTTTTTTGTTAATCTTGATCAGAAAAGGACTTGTGCTTTAGTCAAGAAAAACTCAGACACGGTTTTTCGAAGACCAAACATTTTCACGACCTGCTATTACTGGAGAATGGAGGTGTACGAGAAAAGGGTAGCAGCCCACATGGGATTAAATTAATTTAAGGGTGTGTTTGTCAATAAAAATATGCTGATTTCAGTTTCCTAAAGCTACATTATTTGAAGTTAGTCAAATATAATCTGTACGATGCAACTTGATTTCCAATGTCAGTCACACCAAAGCATGCCAAAAATTTCAACCCATATGAACAACTCCACCTCAGCCTAGATTACTCACACAATTATAGTTTTAAAGCATAGACGGTTGAAAAAACGAGCACGTTCGTTGTCATGAATTACGATTTGATATAATAAAATAAATATAATTAGATATTTCAAAATCGTTACATAATGTTCCATGGCACACCTCAGCTGATCTAAGCTGAAAATATAGCTCAACCAGAATGGTAAAACCTAGCTAGTCCACATTGGAAGAAAGGAATAAAATCAGGACAGTTCATTTTTCATCAAGAGGACACAACTGGCTTTATGCTCTTTGCTTCTGGGACGGGTTACATAGGCAGATTCTGTCAACCAAGGCTGATTGTCAAACGGACATTTTGTTTTTCCTTTTTTTCTGAGAACAATTCTGGCACGAAATGATAAATCATTTGAATATTTGCATCAAGTTAGTGGGTTTGTTTCTTTCAAGGAATGTCAGGTGAATTTCCTAATAATAAAACCCCACATGCTCTTAAAGTAAACAAACATCGTACTAGCAATTAGTATTATAATCAGATCCAAACTGCATCAGGTGATCCTCGGAAGAACTGATCTTAAACCTGCTACAGTGAGGTACTTTTCCATTAAATAATGTCTGCTTTTGCAAATTTTCTATATGTATATGCCAACTTGCATATAATCCGTCACACCGTGTTGATCAGGCTTAAACAGTTGCATTGCAACTTCCTCTGCTCTCCTTTTCTTGACTCGCATTTCCTGCTTTCTACCCTGTTGAATTTCCTTACAAGTCTATGTCTTGTGCTGTTCTTGGTTTCATACTTAAAATTTGATCTTCCTGAATTACAATCTTGTCTTGTTTCCAATAGGCATCAACTTGTTTAGGTCTCTGTGGGAGATATGGCATCAAGTTCTTTCCCGCAACCTAGCTCGAATTGGTCGGCCGAACAAAACAAGTTGTTCGAAACTGCTCTTGCGATATACGATAAGGACTCTCCGGATCGTTGGCGCAGCATAGCCAAGATGGTCCAAGGAGCGACCGAGGAGGAAGTTAAGAGGCGATACGAGATCCTTGTAGATGATATAAAGAGCATTGAGTCGGACAAAGTGCCGCTACCGAATTACAAGAACGAAAGGAAGCAGCGAGGAAGACAACATCATAAGCAATGAAGAGGAGAGGTAACATTATTCTTGTGTGGATTGATTTATTTAGATTCACAATCTTTTCATGAATTCTAGCATCAGAAAAGCTCATTTTTGTGAAATTATAAACATTATAAAATGCAATTGATATGGTGAAAGAATGAAATGATTTAATCTCTTCTGCAGGCTGCAGCAACTACAGCTCTAATGAAGAATGATTTCATCTCTAGAGACAGCTATTTTTCCATGAATTTTGAGTCGTCGTTTTTTCCCTATATATGTACCGAAGAAGCAGCATTAAACATTTTCTCTGTTGTATTAACTTTCCTTTCTGCTTTATTAGTCATTGGAGTTACAGGATGCGTTCTTTCTCAGCGTATAAAATTGATTTCTCAAGCAATTTTATTTAAAATCTCACGACAGTAGCAGAAGGAAAAAAAAAAAAACAGGAGAAATTACAGGAATATATTGAATTCGAAGACAGAAAGGGAAAATGACGTTCTAAGAAAAATATGCCGTTCCTTAGTGTAGTAAAATGATTTCGTAAGACCAAGAGCTCATGATACACGAGACATTGTCAACTTGTCAAAAATGTTATCAGCATAATCATTTCCTCCGACTTTTTTTTCTCATGTGTTACCAACAATTTCATGGGTTGATAATTGGAGGTGGACAAGAAAATCAAACACATCTTTTCAAGGTGTGTTTGTCCATAAATTATGTGCATTGCAGTTTGACAAACCTGCAGTTTTAAGTAAGTCAAATAATCTCAAAGATGCAACTTGATTTCCAACGTCAAACATGCCAAAAATTTCTACACAAAAGAAGAAATTACTTCATTTCTGCCTATGATACCCGCACCCTGAAACCTTTGTCTTTGCTTAGGAATCAAGGACAAAATATCAACATAAGATCAATTAAGTGCATTACAGTTTGACAAACCTGCAGTTTTAAGTAAGTCAAATAATCTCAAAGATGCAACTCGATTTCCAACGTCAAACATGCCAAAAATTTCTACACAAAAGAAGAAATTACTTCATTTCTGCCAAACCTTTGTCTTTGCTTTAGGAATCCAGGACAAAATACCAACATAAGATTGCTAGCAAGTTGGCCTAAAGGGTTTGCTGGCCTTTCTTCTCTACTTCTAATCAGCTTAAGTTTTTGACTTAACAACAACATCAGCAACAATTATGGATCTTGGCCAATAATGAACTCTGAGTTTAATACTATTAAATGATTTATTTTAATGTTCTAGACGCTGCATCATGTGGCTAAGATATAGCGCAATTTATATGAGAGCATTACAGGTTCTGATTTCTAAATGACAAATGATTTGAATATTCAGATCAGGGCAGTGGGTTTCATTTCTTTTAAGAAACGTGGGCCGAATTTCCTGCTAATGAAAACCCACATGCTTATCGAATAGACAAACTTGAAACATGGTACGTACTTTGCAATTAATATTATAATTAACCACATCCAAAATATCATCATCTGATCCTCGAACTTAGAAACACTGATCTCAAGACTACTTCTATTAGGGTATTTTTTAGACATTATATGATTTGTAGTTTTGCAAGTCCTATATGTCAACTAACGTGTTTCAGGCTCAAAGCGTAGCTTGCACTGCAACTTCCTTCTCTCCAATCGCTTGACTTCAGTCTTCTTTCATGACTCACACATTCCATGCCTGAACTTTCTCATTAGTCGACTAGTAGCCGGCTTTTCTTCCATTTTCCAGTTTTCATACTCAAATTTGGCCAACCTCTGTCACATTCTCCTATACCAAGACTAAAACTTAGCGAATTCGTCATTTTTCACTTCCTGAACTTGATTTCGTATCTCTGCAAGAGAAATGGGATCCAGTTCTTTCCCACAGCCTAACTCAAATTGGTCAGCTGAGAAAAACAAGTTGTTTGAAAATGCTCTTGCAATATACGACAAGGATAGCCCAGATCGTTGGCGAAACATAGCCAGGTTTGTCGGAGAAACAACCGAAGAGGAAGTGAAGAAGCAGTATGAGATCCTTCTGGATGATATCAAGCGAATTGAGTCAGACCAAGTGCCACTGCCAAATTACAAGAATCATGAAGAAAGCATCAAGGAAAACAGCATCGTAAGCTATGAAGGGGATAGGTAACCATAACACATAACTATTTCCTCATTAATCATTAATAGAAAGAATGGACAAACAGATTTGCTAAATGTTTAGTCCAACAAAACATATATATATTATTCTTTTATGGATTGATTTATTAGATTCACAAACTGATAAACAATGACTTCCAGTATCATAAAAGCCAATCTTTTTGAGATTATCAATTGATTTTGTAAAACAGTTTTACAGTTCATACAACGAAAGAATGAAATGGTTTGATCTTTTCATTAGTACATTATTTTCCATCAATATTGAAACGGAAGCTGATTTCAATGTTTGCCTATTTCCTTACCTGGCACTCTCTTCTGCAGGCTCCAGCAGCTAAAGCTCTGATGAAGAATGATCTCAGTGGGAGAGACAGTGCTGGTTTTTTTTTTTTCCCTCCTTTTTCTTTTTTTTTTTTCCTCTGAAATTATGATTCATCATCATTTGTTACCACCCTTAATTAAACTTGTCTTTGAAGTATAATAAATTCCAATCATATATATGTACCAAAGATGAAACATTAAACATTTTCTTTCTTTTCTGCTTTAATTATTAGTCATCAATATGTGAAAGAAGCTTTTTCTTAAATCAGATTCAACGATACATCCCAAGCATTTCAGTTCAGAATCAAAAGTTCAAGAGCTTAAGACAGTATTTTTTCTTAAATCAGAAATTAGTAACAGAAGGATGGGAAAAAGAAACAAAATTTGTAACATTATGAATCCGATTTGTCATGCCTCAGCATCCAAATTCCAATAGAGCATGCATCCTTTTTTAATTTCCAACTGAGAAATGGCATGTTCACCTAATTGTATAGCCCTCAACATCAGAAAGATTCCAGCAAATCTTGGCAAAATTAGAAAAAGAAAATTCATATAGGAAGTAGGAATAATTCAAAAGGTGAGCATTTGTTCGAGCATCTATGATGTTTGAATAACCTTCCGTGGCTAGTTTCTATGCATATATTCTTTCCCCAACATCTACAGAGTACTTATCCATATCTCTTAGTTACTTCTCTTTTAAATATTTAAGTACAAATTAAGTTTTCTTTCTCAAAAAATAATATATATATGTAAACGTGACCAATATTCTAGACTATTGGTCACGTTTATTTATTTATTTAAGTCTCTGGCTTTTTTTAATTTATAATTAAATTAGTTCATTGGGTTAAAAAATCTCAAGTGATATAAGAGATGTAGAGTCATTTAAATAATAACAAGTATTTTGAAAGCGTTAAATATATGATACGTGTAATTATTTTATAATTTTATACGTCTTTTACATACATCTAATGTGACTTGAGATTAATTAATAGAATGAAAAAACTTAATTGTAGATAAAAATAAGAAAGAAATTGAAGAGCAAAAAAAAAAAAAAAAAAAAGGTTAGAAATTTTTCTCTTGTTGACAAATAGTTCAAGAATTATATTGTTATGAAATATTAAATGACTAGTACCATTCTTATTCCAATTACTAATTATATTCTTTAATCAGATTTAATTTACCATTATTATGCATGATAACATAAGAACTTAAAAATTAGTGCATTTGCTTCAACATTTCAAGAATATTTTCTATTTTTTATTTTATTTCTAATCGTAAAGCTTATAAATAGAATTAATTGTTTATTAACTAAATAGGTGTTTTTTTTTGTAAAAATTAAGAGAATTATTTTGGAGTTACTATCATTTTATTTCATAATAAAATCATTTTTCTATTATTTTTTTCTTTAATTCTTTCTATATATATGTGTGTGTAAAGTTTTTCAATGTAAATCTAACGGAGGGTCCACTTTTAGATTTTTAAAACTTCTTAACATTCTTGTTGGATATTATCCCATATATGGAGATTTAGAAGAAAAAGGAAAGAGAAAAACATGAAAGCGAAAGAGCAATTGAGTGTTAAAATGGAGGCCAACAACACTAAAACATTTTTAAAAACATTAAAGTTGATGTTAAAAATTTCTAACATATGAGGTAAAAAATGAAATATTTCTGAATCTATGTATATTGGCTAAAAAATAGTCTAGCCGACAAAATTTATACTCGCTTGGCAACTGGACAAACAAAACGTTGCAAGAAATTCTGAGATTCTACTATTAGCACCTCTCTGGAACGCAGCAACTCTTAAAACATGGAGTTTGAAAAGGAGAGAGAGGGAAAGGTGACAACTTGGAATTCCTCCTTTAAGGTTATTTACTTGGGACTCTGTCTATATATTGCATTTTTTCTCTCTTTTCTGTTCTTCTTTAGCTTCATCCTATAAACAATTTACTTATGAAGCAAGAGAAAAGTAATTTGCTTGTTTCAACTAAGGATTTTGAAAGCCTCAAATCATAAAAATTCTTGTTAGAGAATCCTTAAATGACATAACTTGGGTTTGAAATATAAACCTGTTTTGTACATGTGAAATAATTATACAGCCTCCAAAATAATTGGAAACAGTGTTCTTACAGTTAGGAATAAGGAACTGCAATGACAAGCACTTTTTTTTTAGTATGGTATCATTAGTAGTTCCAAAGTTGAGAACTTTCTTGCTATTTTACTTCACAAAGGAAAAAATTGATGGGTTGTTTTGAAAATTCAGTGACGAGAAGTTCATATAGTGTGGCATTAGCTTCAAAGTTGAAAACTTTCATGGTGTTGTAGGAAAAAAAAAGAAAAAAAAGGAATAATTGTTGATGGGTGGTTGCGTTATTTCAATGGCAGATAATATTAGGTTCCTCATCTATGGCTCGGCGGCAAATTCTCAATGAGATGGGATATGAGTTTACCATTGTGGTATATTCTTAAGCTTCATTTTCTTGTGCTTTTAGTTATTTATTTGTTGAAAGGTTTAGTTTTCAATTATGGGTTTTTGGTTCTGTTTGTATCATTAATGTGATATTGGTTTAGACTGCAGATATAGACGAGAAAAGTATAAGAAAAGATAAGCCAGAGGAATTGGTAATGGCTCTAGCTGAGGCAAAGGTTCAACCTTTTGACCTGCTACACCTTTTATATGTTGAATGTCTCAAATATCATTTTATTGCTTTGAATAGTCTCTATAACTCATTGCTTAGGTTAAATGTACTCGTGTGGCCATTGTTTAGTCTATTCTTTTGAACTTCACAATGCGGGCTTCCTGCATTTGTCTTTGCACAAATTTTGGTTTCGTGATGGATTACTAACTGGAGCATAACTGAGTCGTTCTTTCTTTTTTATTTTTCCCCCTAGGCAAATACCATTATAGAAAAGCTTCTAATTGAAGGTCATGTGGAAGAGGATGCTACGGCAACATTGTTAATTACTGCAGACACAGTATGCTTTTATTCCATTTCATTATTCCCAATTCCAACCTCTAACTATTTTAAACTCTTGTGCTGTGAATCTATTTATTGCTTAATATAGTTTTCTTGTGATTGCTTCTGTATTGAAGGTCTTGTCCCATATTTGACATTTCTTACTGGTTTTATCTAACTGCTAAGTCTCATTGATTTTTGAGGTGGTGGTGAGTGATGGGATGGTTAGAGAAAAGCCAAATAGCAAGGAAGAAGCACGGGAGTTTATCAAAGGTTTGCTTAATTGGGTTCACTAATGTCCCCAACTGTTTACAAACCTCAACTTGTTTTAGTGGTCAAATATGACTATTGGTTGCACTATTGCAGGCTATTCCGGTGGTCATGCAGCAGTCATAGGATCTGTGGTTGTAAGTAACCTTACTACAGGAATACGGAAAGGAGCATGGGAGAAAGCTGAGGTACTACTTGCTTGTACTTGTATTTAGCTTAGATTTTACTGGATAGTGACAATCAAATGGTTTCTAGCCCATCTAATCCTGGAGGCAGATTGTTCATTCAAAATGGCCAAGTATTTCTTTAAACTCGAGAAACAGTTTTTCTATCATCTGAGGCTACTGAATTGCACTCCTCTAATGTCCTTTCCTGTATGGATAACTTGATGAGAAATAGGTGCATGTATGCAACAAGGTTTCCAGATCCATTATTTATCAGCGTCTGTATATCCACTGTTTTCTTTATTTTTTTTATGTACCTGCTATATACCCAATGTCATGGCCAAATAATGGGATCCATTTGTGCTGTGATATGGACCTTACTGTCTTGGTGTTACATATCATGTAGAAGATAGGTTGTGCTCTATATGTCGACTGTTCTCTCCATCTTTGTAGATGAAAAATATGATATGGTAATCTTAACTATTTGATATAGATGAAATAGTAACCGTTGAATATTTACAAAATTTTCTCATTTGAGTTGCTACTACTTACAAGACTAGTTCAGGTTGTTTGGTGCTCCTGAGATGATAGAAACAGACCATAAAGTATATATTTTTTATCTCCTGTTTACAAGAATTTGTCTCGTAAAGCTGTTTTAAAGATTTAATTGATGTAAGAGGGACTTTATCTGAAAGTTCATTGAAGTTTGGACTTCACATTTCATATGAATGCAGGTAAATTTGTCTTTATGATTCGATGACATTGAGGTTTGAAAGAATGATCTGGTTCACTTATGCAGGTTTATTTCCATGAGATACCCGATCAGATCATTGATAGCGTGGTAACTTTTGTAAATGCATATTGTTTAATGGATTCTATATGTGGAGCTATTTTCTCTGCCACATGTTTTTAATTTCTCTTGTTGGTGATGAGATTTGCCTTAGATTGAGGAGGGAAGTACACTCCATGTTGCTGGGGGTTTGACACTGGAACATCCATTGACTTCACCATTTGTTCAAGCAGTGGTGAGCTCTCTCCCTCTACCTCTCCCCCTCTCTCTCGATCTCTTATTATACTCTCTGCATGGCTGACAAACTCAGGAAGCCAGAGTATTTAGCTCTTCAGGTGCCCACATCATGCCCCAATGCGCGGGCATTGTTAGGGTACTTCTTCATTTTACAGCCTTCTTCATGTCAAGTGATGAATTTTCTGTCAATGTTCTTACTTGTGTTTTACTTGGTCCTTTTGACAAGACAACAAATTAACGGAGCTTCATTTATCAACTACATGCATTAGGATTTACGTAACCGACCCCCTCTTGTATGTTCTTTGAGTAGGTCGTATCTGCCCTTTTCCACTCAATGGGATTGAAGCTTAAAATTGCATTGTAAAGACTACTTCTATGGTTTTCGTTCTTTTTTCTGGGCTCAAGGGGCTGAAGTGAACCTGGTTGCTGTATTACAATACGCAAGCAGTTGAAACTTTGGTGACCTAGAATACAAGAATTTACCTCCTTCCCTCCCTCTAATCCTTCTGATGAAAACATCAATTCGATATTTTGCAGGTAGGGAGCACTGATACGGTGTGGGGACTTTCAAAAGCGCTAACTGAAAAACTCATCAGGGATACCTTGTAGCTGCAATAATGACTTCACGTGAGAACTGTGAACGAATCCACAAATTTTGAACATTCTGGACCGTCTTTTGAAACTCCTAGGCTTGCCGCTTACATTCGGTTTTTTATCTGCAGATTGCTTTGCTATCACTTGAATTCTATTCAGTTCTTAGCTCAATTCTTTTTTACTCTTCAAAACTAAACATGCTCCCAATGGAGAAATGTAAGGTCAGGCAAACAAAAAGATGTACGCAAGATTCTTTAGTGCATTCAAGTTTTTTTATCCTCTTTGGTGATCCCTGGTGATCATGAGTCTTACAGCTATTCAAGTTGCAAGATTTTGAAGTTTCTTATGCAATTCTTTTTTATTCCTGCAGCTGGTTGATTCTTACATTTCTCCAGATCGTTTGTACCGATGTTGCTAATTGCTTTACAATAACTTTCTTTTGGTCTAATTCGTTTATGATATATCTTTGCAATGCCGAGAGAGGGTTTGGCAATTTCTGATACTGGCAGGCTATTTTTATCTGATGTGCGATTCAAATGCATCAAAGTTGATCATCCGTAGTATTTAACTTTATTTTACATAATAAGATCTATTTTTGTTCAATCATAATTACACTACAAACATGCCATAATATTTAAAATTGCATACCAAAGGAATTTATGAAGATTAATATAGAAAACAAAGCACTTAAAAGAGTTTTGTTTGTTTAACATTCCACAAAAATATTTTTTCGTTTAGAATCAAGTTTTTTTTGTTAGTTTTTTGTCCAAAATTAATAGGTTTCATGATATATTTTGTCCTCATTCTATTATAATATGACAATTTCGAACTCATAGTATCAAATTAAGTAATTTGAATGTCAAAATATTGAAGATTTGATAAATGTTATCAAATTGCTCAATTTTTTGTTTTGTGTGACGATCAATTAGGTTGACCGTTACTAGAAATGTCAAAACGACGTCGTTTTGATATTTCATTGTTAATTATGTTTTTTTTAATATATTTTAAAAATATTTTTAATCCTCCTAATCTTGAACTTTTTTTAAAAAAAATTATTATAAAATATTTATAATATTTAATAAATTATATAAAAAACATTTTATAAATATTTTTAACCTCCTAAGTTTCAACTTTTTAAAAAAATCTCTTTTTATATAAAATGTTATTGTAAAAAAACATAATTAACAATACTTATAAGCATAATTAAGAGTCGACCCTCTAATTTTATAAATTATAAAAAAATTATAAAATACTTATAATATTTTATAAAAAAAGTTCAAAATTAGGTGATTAAAATAAAATATTTTTTTGAAAAAAATATAATTAATAGCAACTATTAAAACGACGTCGTTTTAAAATTTCAAGTAATGGTCAACTCGGGTTGATCATTGCACGTAATGAAGATTAAGTAATTTAGATTATATTTGTTCAATCTTCAATATTTTAAAATTTAAATTATGTAATTTAATATTATGAATTCAAAATTATCAAATTATAATAAAATGAGAATAAACTTTATCATTAAATCAAAATTAATAGTTCAAGTGCATGCCAATTGGACGTGTTTGATTTTTAACTTTCACAACAATTAAAAGGACATGAAATACACGTGTGATAGTAAAAGAATTTGAATCCAGCACGTGCGAACAACTTCATCCCATTTAAATTAATCACTTTGTGATCTTCAAAACCATCTCTCTAATTAAAATTCTAAACATCATCCATCAACCATAATGCAAAGCGAAACTTTTCGATCACCCTCACCTACGCACTCAATTCAAATAAAAAAAATAAAAAAATAATTCAATTTTAAATAAAAAAAATAGCTCAAAAAAAGATTTAATTCAAAATTTAAAATTGAATAATTAATTCTTAAATAATTTAAAATTCAAATGAGATTTGGACCGTTTTACCAAACAATTATATAACAATATACAAATATTGAAGAACTCATCAAAATTACATGATAAAGTGAGGAACGTATTTTCCTTTTTACAAACCCATGGGCCTAAATGGAACTTTAACAAAAAAAAGCCGAGGAAGATGATTAGAAAAAGAAAAATAAAAAAGATTATTCCGAAGTAGAATTTCCTAAACCGAGGTTAGAAAATACCAATCCAGAACTTGGATACCAATTTTGGTGCAACCAAAAGGCGTGCTAGCTTCACAGTCCCTTGCTTGCCCTGCTAAACACACACCTTCTCTGGTTCTTTGCAGGTCTGGACGAAAATAGAGCAGCAGCAACTGACCTTTTCCCCAGCGAAGCAACTCTGTCACCATCTTCCCATTTTTACCTGCAGGTATGACTCATCATCAAATTCATTTCCTTTCTTTCATGAATTTCATAGGAATTTTAGTAGTTCTCTTTGGAGTTTGATCTGATGAAGTGACAGTGCATTTTACAAACTTATTGGGCAATTTATTCCTTCTGTTCTATTTGGTCACCAAGAAACCATGAGAAAGAAAGAGAATGAAAATTTTCAAGAACCCGTAAACTAAAACTTCATTTTCTCAGTCAAAATCACAAAACCAAAAGCACCCTATGAGGGTTAACTGTCAATCTATCTTTGGTTCTTATTGCGCACCAGTTGTTTGATAAAATGTTTGACTGTGAGTTTTGTTTTTTTTTATTTTCTTATCCCAGGAGAGCTTTCAAGTGATATCACTTTGCAATGGAAGCCAAGTTCTTTCGATTTCTAAAAATTGTAGGTGTTGGTTACAAAGCGCGAGCAGAAGCAGAAGGCCGTTTGTTATATCTCAAACTAGGTTATAGTCATGAAGTTGAACTGACCGTGCCACCTGCAGTCCGAGTATTTTGTTTCAAGAACAATGTGGTTTGCTGCACTGGAATTGACAAGGGAAGAGTGCATCAGTTTGCTGCTGCTGTTCGTAGTTGTAAGCCACCTGAAGTTTATAAAGGGAAAGGGATCATGTATATTGATGAAGTTATTAAGAAGAAACAAGGAAAGAAATCGAAATGATCATGGCTGAGACGGGTGATTCTGATGCTTCAGTAGGTCAAATTGGGTTGTGTTTGTGGGATTAAATTGCAAGGATTTTGTAGTTTTTTGGAGGTTTCAATCAGTTTATGACGTTTCAAAATAATAGAATTGGCTGGTTGCTAAATTTGCAAAGTTTTTAGCTCTTGCTGCTTGTACTTCTCTATGTTCAGTCTCATGAAAATCAATCCATCTCTAAGTTAGTCCTTCAGTGTGATGTTTATAAACCAAAATAAATTCAACTGGCCAATAAAAAGAAAATTTGAAGCAGAAGTGTATAGACAGGCCTCCACGCATAGGCAATTTGCCAAAGAAATCCAAAAACCTTAATTTTACTATCACAAATACATTTGAAGAATGTCTTGTACAGAGTAACAATGACTCAAGAGTACTTAGTCAAGCATATAGATTCGCGAGGCAATGTCCTGAACCAACCAATCAAATCCTTCAAGCAGCCCTTCACCTGTGTATGCACTGCATCCCACAATTTTCCAGTGTCGGGTTTTATCCATATTCTCTAGGTTCAATACCTGAACAAGCGTAAGAAAACCACTTCAGAATTCAAACATGAAACACAAGGCAATGTATCACCAAGAAGACATCACCATGCAGAAGAAGGGAAAGTGAATCAAATCAAGTACGGTTAGTTACGTAGATTAAATGCTATGGTTTCTACCATGTCTTGACACAAGGAATAGTACCTCAGCCAGTCAATATGCATGAATCCCTAACCTTAAAATGCTAAATGGATGCACAAGTTTTGCTAATAGAACATTCTTCAACTACAAAAACCGTCACGTTGATGAATCGGCCTCATAGCTTTGGCTGCGCAGAACAGAAAACACTTGAGGGGCACTTTTGCAAGCACAGTTGCCAGGTCGGATAACTGAGTTTCAAACAGCTTAGAGACATGTATTATCAGGATCCCCATCTAAATGTTCAACTTTCAACACCAAGAGACAAGTTTGGAAAGGAAGGTACACAGAAGATTTTATGATAACCTCTTCAACCATGTTTATGTCATCATCCAACTACATGTTAAAGTTAATAAACTCTGAAAAAAAAAAAAAAGGCATTCATTTCAATTGTTCGGTATGAGATACACGACATAGGATGATATTTTACTTCTCTGAGCACTGAGCAAAGGAAAAGACACAAGGGAAAACGATGACAAATTTCAAGTTGTCTATGAACAAAAACCATATCAACAATCATAATGTAGAAGAATTTATCAGCAAGAAGCCTTACCTTGGCAATTTCCTCTGGTGTAAGAGCACCTTTTATGTCTTGCTTGTTTGCAAATATTAGTAAAGAAGCTCCTGACAGCCGCTGTCAGATGAACAAGCAAATCAAAAACAAATGTGTCAAATAAACAGAAGCGAGGGCAAAGGAATAATAACGAGGGCATGAGACATAAATTACATCAATGTGAAGAACAAATAAAAGCTGTTATTTTAAAACAATACATGAGATGAAAGAAACTTAAAACTGGCAAATACCTCTTCCTTCAAAAGATTATCAAGTTCCATTTTGCAATCATCCAACCTTCTAAGATCTGAACTGTCGACCACCCAGACCAAGCCATCCGTTTGCTCAAAGTAGTTCCTCCAGTATGATCTTATAGTCCTTTGGCCCCCCACATCCCATATATTTAAAGTATACCTGTCAAAAAAAAAAAAGGAGTATCATTTCAACCTTCCATATCATAACAAACATTCTAAAATTAAAATTCCAATCTTGAAAAGCACAGCAAACACTGCAACATCGGTGCTATACAAACTTTTACAAGTGACCTGCAGAATTGTACTGATGATAATTTTGCTTAATCAATGCTAAACTAAACCGTCTCCAGTTTGTTTTGATTTTATATCACTCTTCGACAAATTCATCTAAAAAAACAATGTCAATTACAAATTTACAAACCCAGGATCTCATATTTCATTAGTATCGCAAATGGGCTCATGTCAAATTGGCAGTTCAAAACAATAAATCATTACTACCCATTTCCAAAAATAACAAAAGCAATATACACAAAAGAAAAGGAGTTAGATAAATAAAGAAAGAAACTGAAAAGATCTATGTTTGTTTCTTACTTTTGATAAGAGAGGGTTTTGATATTGAAACCAAGAGTAGGACTTATAACACTAGTGTCTTCCCCATTTATCTTCAAAACTATTGTTGTCTTCCCTGAATTATCAAGTCCCCTTCAACCAAAAACACAGAAAAGAAGACAGAAAATCCATTATCCATCAACATATATATCATAGACAGAGAAAACTAAGTGGGTGGATACATACACCATGAGGATTCGCATTTCCTTCTCTTTTCTCTTGATTTTTCTAATGATACTAAGCAACCCCATTATTCAGGAGCAATAAAGAAACAACAACTGGGTTTTTCTTTTCTTTCGTTTTGCCTTCTGAATAATTTGCAGTGAGTCTGTGAGATCGATTTGTTTTTCTTCTGGCTAACGATAAACTTAATAAAAACAAAAATAAAAGAGATATAAAGAATGGAATATATAAAACTTTAACTTATTTGAAATTGAATTTGATTTTGAAATTTCTAAACTTCTAATTTTTTAAAATTTAGTGTATTTTTCAATTTTTTTATTATTTATTTCAAAAAATAACAAATATAAAACTCTTCAAAAAATTTAAAAACATTCTTAGTTATTTTTTATTTTCTCAATTTTTTATATTTTTAATGTTCAACAAATAAACAAATATATTTTTTTGTTTAAAAAATTCTAAGATTCTTTGAAACAGTATATTGGACTTTTTATAATTTGAGTGCAAAATTTAAAATATCAAAAATTGATTTTTTTTTTAAATGATAATTAAAAATTATTAGGTTGACTAAATCTTAAAAAAAAAAATTAGAAATTTCAAAAAACCAAATTTAAAGTTCAAGTACTCAATTTCAAATGAATAAAAACTCAGAAAAAGTTTGATCCATTTAATCTAATAATATTTCTTAAGTCTACCTTATACTTTTATACCTTCTCCTTAATTTTTTTGGTAAATAGTTCAATTTGTTTTTATATAATAGAATTAATCTCTAATTTGTCACAATGTTTCTAATTATATTTATTATATTTTTAAATAATATTTAATTCTTCAATTTATTATTTTGATCAATTTTTTCGATTTTGATCGAAATGCTTCTGATTATATATACTTAAAGTCATGTTATATTTTTTAAAATCATTCTTATTTTTTATTTTCTCAATTTTTTTTATATTTTTAATGTTCGAAAATAAAAAAATATACTTTTTTATTTTAAAAAATTTTAAGATTCTTTTAAACACTACATTGAACTTTTTATTAAGTGAGTGAAAAATTTTAATTCGAAATATCAAGAATTGAATTTTTTAAAAAGAAGGATAATAACTAAAAACCATTGGATGGACTAAATAAATAAATAAAAAAAAAAAGTTTAGAAATTTCAAAAAACCCAAATTTGAAGTTCAAGTACTCAATTTCAAATGAGTTAAAATTCAGAAAAAAGTTTGATTCATTTGATCTAATAATATTTCTTAAGTCTACCTTATACTTTTATACCTTCTCCTTAATTTTTTTTGGTAAATAGTTCAATTTGTTTTTATATAATAGCATTAATCTCTAATTTGTCATACCATTTCTAATTATATTTATTATATTTTTAAATAATGTTTAAGTCTTTAATTTATTATTTTAATCATTTTTTTCGATTTTGACTGAAATGCTTCTAACTATATATATATAGACTTAAAGTAATATTCTATTTTTTAAGTCTTTAGAATTTTTTATTTTTTATTTTCATTTCAGTTCATAGCATTTCAATTAAAAAATTTTCTTATAATAAAAAAAATTGATCGAAATGAAAAATTAGAGACTTAAACATTATTCATAGACATAATATATACAATTAAAAGCATAATGACATATAAGAGATTTAAGCTATTATATAAAAACATTGCAAAAAAACATTTCAACTCAAAAGTTTAAGCATGCCCCATCAAGTGAAAGTTTTTTTAATTTGAAATTTGCATAGACTCATTACTCGCATTGTGCTTAATTTTTAATTTAACTAAAAGAATGAAGGGTCGTGATATTTAAACTCATGACTACGTAATACTATATTAAAGAATCGTATCAATCAAAAGAATCAAATTGTAAGTCATACTGAAGAATGATTTTATATTATTTTCTAACAAACACATCAATTATTTACAATAATTCTTGTATATCTCCTTACTATCTTTCTTTGAGTCACAAGCATCCAATAATGCCACCTCATAAGGATTCTATTTTTTTATTACTATAATATACCAAATAGAAATAGCATTTGTTTTTTCACTTGAATTATAGTAATTGAATAAACCTAGAACAATAAGTATTCATCCAGTGTAAGATATATAGATAATAAACATAAATTTATAACATTAATCAACATTCGGTTATGATATATAAAAGAGGGGTTAAAAGTAAATTTTGCCCTCGTTGTATTGTGACTTGACAATTTGAGACATATAGTATCAAATCATGTAATTTGAATCTCAAAGTATTGAAAATTAGGCTAATATGATACAAATTACATAATTTCCATTATGCGTAATGGTCAACTAGTCGTTACTTGGAATGCTAAAAATGACATCGTTTTGACATTTCGTTGTTAAATTTTTTTAAAAAAAATTTAACCCGCTAATCTTGAACCTTTTTTTAAATTTTTTCTTATAAAATATTATAAACATTTTATAAATTATATAAAAAAAATTATATAAATATTTTTAACCCTCTAATTTTGAACCTTTTTTTTATATAATTTATAAAATTAGGGGAGTTCAACCTTTAATTATGCTCATTTTAATTTATAAAATATTTTTTTAAGATCCGAAATTGTGTATTGTTAATTATTTTTTTTTGTACAATAACATTTTATAAAAAAAAAGTTTTTTATTAAAATTCAAAGTTAAAAATATTTATAAATTTTTTATATATATATAATTTATAAAATATTTGTAATTTTTTATAATTTTTTTTAAAGTTCAAAATTAGGGAGGTTAAAAATATTTTTAAAATATTTTTTTAAAAAAAATATATAATTAATAGTGTAATGCTAAAATATCGTTTTGGCATTCCAAATAACGATCAATCTAGTTAACTATTATACATAGTAGAAATTGATCAATTTGGATCATATTTGTTTAATTTTAAATATTTCGAGATTCAAATTATGTAATTTGGTAATATGAATTTGAAATTATCAAATCATAAAATTTTCCATTAAACCTACAAAAGAGATGGAATAGGGTCTAATGCAACTCAATTAAGTGATGTAGGATAGTTGCAAAAATAATTGGTAATCTGAGGTTCAAGCTACAATCTTCATGTCATGCGTGCAAAATGCAAGCCATGCAATTGCACAATTTGGCCTCTTGATGAATTCACTTAGCCAATCAGATTAATCTATGGGCCCCGTTATTGCTCGTATTGCATGCCTTGTGGGATACAGTAAAAAATGTGGATTGTCTTTATGAATTTGGTGCTGTCCTCACTCGTGGGATCCAAGTAATAATTGTATCAATGCCAAAAGAGGTTCCATAGACATTACTTCAGAGTTTAGAGGATGTGGTGTCCCTCAGAAGTTGTTCTCTTCCTCGCGCTCGTCTTTCCGGCTCCATGGCTTCTACTAATTTTTTTTTTTAAAAAAATCTTATCGAAAAGGTTTAAAAACTCAAATTAATCACTTATTATTTTATCGGATGTATAAAATAAAAATAATTATTCAAAATTTTTTTACATATAAAAGAATTTAAACTCAAAATCACTTAAACGATTAAATTTTTTTTCACTCAAATCGATACTTTTTTTATGACTAATGCTGGCGATAGATACCAAATTGTATGCCCTCAATACACAACCTCTTTTGCTTTCAAATGATTGTGATGTCATGGAGTTGAGTTAGTGATTTGTTGTAGGAGTACCCTTGTAAGTTCCCAAGTTTTAGTTTTAGAACCCTAGTAGCTAGGTGACCAAAAAATTCTAGTTGCTACAAACTCATGAGAACAAAGGGTAAAAAGACCTAAAGCTAAAAGACATGATAAGAATCTCAATTTATTTCTTGTCAAAGCAAAGGGTAAAGGAATTTCTTGTTTTGTTGGGTAAAGCACAAAACAATGCCATGAAACACGAGTTATGTATCTTAATTACCTATACTTGATTTTTGGAGCATATGGTATACATAGGCATACAAATCATGAATATCGTGAATGTAATGGAATGGGAAGAAAGTATTTAATATTAGGAGTTAAATATATATACGTAGTCCCTATAGTTTATCAAAGCTTTAATTTATTAGTCCTCGTTTTAGTATTTTTAATTTGTTCCAAAAATGCTTACTTTCCTAATGAAATTTTCTCGTCTTACGTCCTTCTTCATAATTTTTTCTTTACTTTTCAAAAAAATAAAAAGAACACGTAAGTTGAAAAGGATCAAGAAATTGACAAAAGGACTTTGTTACAAACAAATTAAAAACTATATATAGAGATTAAATATACAATTTTCAAAACCATAAGGACTAATTCGTTAGCTTCTTTGAACTACAAGGACTACATTATAATCAACTCTTTTATAGCAGTATTAATGTCATGCTAGTTAACTAAAGCATCATATTGTAATTTGCTTTCCATTTCACTGGAAAAGAAAACATACTAATAAAAAGATGCTTTCAGGTTTAGAATATAGATTGCTCATATGCTACTCAAAAGACATCGAAGTTCCAACCCTTTCCATAAAAGAATTAATTGAATCTCTAGCAAAATTGTTCTTCTGGACATGTTGCGTTACTGAAAATTAATCAACTAAAAAAATCCTGAACAATTTCTCAACTTAATCAGTTTGTTTGTTTGCTGCGTCAAGTTTTCTGTACTGCTTTAGGTAGGAACTGTTGCTTTCCTATCTGGGCTATCTTGGGTCATTCTTGTTTTTGTCTAGCTACTAGCTAGTTCATGGTTTGATGGATGAGCTCTGGAGTGTAGGGTTAATTGCTTGTTAATTATGAGGTCTTGTCTGTGCCATTTCCTTAGTGGCTTTACATTCTCTCATTTGAGCATGGATAGAGTAGAGATGTGTGAAGGGCAGCTTCAATTAAACATATACACGTGATGCCAAAGCTGGCTGAACAAGTGTCAATGAGAAGGTAGCCGGGTTCCTTTTTTCTGAAAGTGAATCGGACAAGAAATGATGCATTACTTCTACTTCCTGACAACTCCTGCAAATCATACTATTTACTGACAGAATGGAGGCTTTTTTGGTTAATTTAAAATTAATGGGCCTTTGCTTGATCCTAAACAACTTTATCAGCTACATGTATTTAACGGTTTGAGACAACCTTGTGGAATTCATCTTCGTAGATAGAAATATACACAGTAGTGAGACTTGAGACACAAAAATGGCATCATCTATTACTATGTTCATGCTGGTCTTATCATTCTTTGTCGTGAGCAGAAGTGCTGCTCATTACATCCCTTGTAGTGAATCTTTCTCTCAATTAGCCAAAGAAAAAAACATTTCAAAATGCAAGAAACTGACCACTCTAGGAGCTGAATTTGGATGGGAAGTCAGCAAACAAAATGTGAGCCAAATTGACATTCTCATAGGCACAAGGCTAAATAATGCAGAAACGATGTGGCTAGCCTGGGGTGTAAACCCACAAGACAGACCACAGATGGTTGGAACAAGAGCGATAATAGGCATCAGGCAACTAAATGGCTCAACCACTGTCCTCACCTATGACATCACAAGTGATACCAAGCTGGGCTGCAAGCTACAGCCTTCAGCAATCGATGTACAAGTTCCAAGTATGAAATTAGATTATGTGTCATCAATAGACTACCTCACACTTCATGCAACCCTTGTACTTCCAGCTTCCATCTACAATATTACAAGGTTGAACCATTTGTGGCAAGTTGGATATGATGCCCAAGGAACAGAGCCTAAGATGCATCCTACTGCTCTCCAGAACGTTGACAGTACAGAAACAATAGACTTGGAGAATGGATTGGCTCAACATGTGGGAGAGCAAGAGCATCGTCTAAGAAAGGTAAGAAGCTAAAATTAATAGTACTACTGATCCTGATATATATATATATATATTGCTGATATTGTCACTTCTTCTGATTTTCAGATTCATGGCATCTTGAACATCATAGGGTGGGGAACATTCTTGCCTGCTGGAGTGATAATTGCAAGATATTTCAGATATCCATTGCCATTAGAGAATTATTGGTATTGTCTTCATGTTGGGTGCCAAATTGTAGGGTACATTCTTGGGGTAGCTGGGTGGAGCGTTGGCATATGGCTAGGACGTGCTTCTAAACACTATTCCTTCAAAATCCACAGGCTTTTTGCCATATTCATCTTCACCTTCACAACATTACAAGTAAGCCTCCTCTTAATTACTACTATGTACTAGGGTTCATCGTCACTAACATTTTACTGTTTCATTTTAGCTGTAAATTGAAATTCTTTGAATAAGTAATTTATTGCAGATGTTGGCGTTGCGCTTAAAGCCGCATAAAACGGATGAATACAGGAAGTACTGGAACATGTACCATCATTTCTTGGGATATGCTCTGCTTGCTGTGATCTCTGTGAACATTTTTCATGGAATTGACATTTTGAAGCCAGACAACTCCTGGAAATGGGCTTACGTTGGAATCCTTGCGATGTTTGGTATTATTGTTACAGCTCTTGAGATCTCCACTTGGACTAAGTATCTTCTCAAAGACAAAAACGGCCAAAAGTCGAAATCTGGATCTGGACGACCAAGTTCTTAACAATTTGCATGCATGTTCTACTTATGGACTCCATTTTTTCAGTTTGTCTCCCTCTTCTTTATCATTTTCATCCTTTGTCCATTTTGACCACCGGATGTACTCATTTGTTGCTTCATCCTTTCGTATTAGAGTTGTATTTATAGAGTTATGAAAGAAAGAAAAAAGCTATATTTTTTTGGAACAGCTGCCATGACATTTTAATTTCTTGAATAAGCTGCAATTAATGTCATTTTAGTTTCTAGATGGCTAACAAATAATGAAAGCTTAAGAAGAAGATACACTTTCAAACGAATTTAAATAATTAAATCAAACACTGTTGACATACAACATTTCTGTTTCCTCGCTCCTGTATTGCACTTCCTGGAGCAAACATAAATACAGATTGCCACCGCAAACCGCTACGTTTCTTCAAAACTGTGACTGTTGTGTCAGATTTGCCTACTATATTGAGAAGAAAATAAGAAAAGCTTACAACCAGGGGATTTGGTGATTCCTGCTGCTAGGCCTAGAGAAAATTTGGCTTAATTCATGAGCCTTGGAGCCTTGAGAAAATGTACACTCTTCACAAACCCTTTCCCAGCTTCACCTACAGCCTTTAAGACATCAATTGGGTCTTCTTCCTCACCTGCTTCGTCTCGATCCCGTTTCTGGGAGAAGTGAACAAACTAAGGGATCAGATGAATGTAATTGACAAGATTTATAAGCTACTCCAGAACAGAATATATCATTAGAGGAAATTTTGAATGACATTCCATTATACCTTTGAACAAGATCTCTCCCATGTCAGTCCAATAGCATCGCCTCCCAGAGAATCATACCATGACTTCAATATGTTGCATTCTTTCTAAAGATGTTCAGAGAGAGTAAGAAAATAGGAGCAACATTGTCAAAATCAAAAACAAAGCATTTCAGAATACTTGCCTCCAGATCTGCAATGTAGCACCTAAGTGGATCGAAGTCCACCAATAGCTTATTTTTCAGTTCATCTAAGCTCCCTCGTAAATCTCTGGGTAACATAAAGGGCTGGAAAGCCTTACTAGCATTCCCATGAGCCACAAGCCTCCCTGCCCAATATGTGGAATAAATTATAAATTTCAAGGAAGAAGTTAATGCAGGAGTGAGACAGCCTATCTCTGGGATCGCTGTAAAAGCATACCATGGTTTAATTTTGATGGGAAGAGAAGACGTTGAGGATATGGTAATCTGTCCCCATGGAGAAGGATTACAGCATTGTAGTTGTTAAGAGGAGTCCGGAAAAGGCACTGTGGTACAAAAATAGAGCCATTATACTCAAAAGTATAGAGCAGATATAATTCAGAAAGCAGAAGAGTTAACAAGCACATTGAAATTAACTCACCTCCCATCTGTAAGAGTCTGTCTGATCCCGCAACACGAGTCTGGTTAGCAGGTTTGCACTGCTACAAGCATAAGCCACCAACCTTTTAAGTTCCTTTTAATTCAACAAACACACATGTCAATAAAGAATATGAACAGACAGATACCTAAGATAAATTGGAAGTGATTTAGCATATTTGAATATGATTATTAAACTGAATGTAACCATGGGGTAGACCTATGCGTAAATGGCTTAGTTCATTGCCCAATGCTTAATCAAGATATTATAATTTTTACTAACTACAGACAAATCAAATGCTATCATAACATAAAAGGGACAGACTGAGATGCAAAAAAAAAAATTAAATGGCCAAAGCAGCCCAGGTGGGAAACAGGAAAAAAAAAATTTGCTAAACTTGCAAGCTCAAACAGTAAAAGATTTTCTCATAAATAATGCAGCCTGAGCTTGATTGGAGGAATCACTAACCAGTAAGTTCGGTGAGAGTCTGGTCCAGGCTTCAGATGCCTTGTCATAGGATGTTGCCAAGAACATTGCTGAACTTATGTTTTGGCTATTTTCTTCATAACCTTTTCTAGTCAACATAAACTTGTCCTGGATAATGTTATAGAATTAGCAGCCATTAGGAAAGAGAGAGAAATCAAAGAATACATCTTAAAGAGAGAAGTAAGTAACAAACAATCATTAATTGATTGCAGAACTTAATAACTCTCTTTCCCACATAAATCAAACAATAAGAGAACAACAAATATTAAACAATCATTATTCATCTGCAGAGCTTACATGTATCTCTTTCTTATCACTTGGGTTGAAATCACTGTTTAGGTCAACAATAAGAGGAGAAAATATCCAATCATACTCTGCTAGCAACCGCAGGAACCTGTTAAGAAAATTTACAAGGACATGATCATTGACCAACAAAAATAGATCCCAGAAACAAAAATCCATCCTGGTTTAAGGAGTGAAGCTCATTGGAACCAGACAGTAAATTTCTTATTCAGCTGAAATAATTGATTCATGGTTAAACACCAAGTTTTTAAGAGTGTAGATTTCAACCTTAGAAATCCAGTGATGCGTGAACAAGGAGCAGTGAAAGGCAAAGGTTTCACAAAGAGATGTGCGACCAATAACTCGATTGCCTCCTCTGACAGGCATGCCGAGAACATATGTGAAGCAACCCATCGTTTAGCAAGCCTTTGCAGAGAGTCAAGCAAAACACATTAAGAAGGCAGTTAATATATTTGTAAGTAAATATAACAAAGCCACAGATTCATCACTAACCTAACAACCGGCCCATATATTGGGAAAATACCCTGCAACCCATTAATCATGCTAGAATGCTGACTGCAAACAAAGAGTTTCTGGTCCACAGAAGATACCCGCTTTCCTTGATCACTTCCAACTAGAAATCAGACTGCATTAGTTAGTAATTTAAATATCACAATAATCCAACCAAATAGACATGAATTACATGTACACTGAAACTTGCTTACTTACTTTCTCTTTTCACCAAGCTCAAGCCTCTCTCGTGCAAAATTTTTAGACGAAATGCATATCCAGACAGAAAAACATCCACATCATCTTCAGTAGCAGTACATGTCATCCCCCAGCTATTTTCGAGACTGCCATAAGTTCATGATCAGCTACCACCATAGATTTACAAGTATAATTACAAATACGCATAAAGAGGCCACAATCACCCACCTCTCTCCAATTTTGAGAAGAAAAGCAGATTTGGTTTTCTCAATTGCCACATCATCCATTGGCCAGTTCCCGGAACCTTCCAACTAAACAAACAAACAAGTTTAAGTTGCTAATTTGATGGAAACTGGTATAAAAAGCATGAGTGAACAACAAGGCACCATACCTGAATCATAACTTCCAATGGCTGGATGCAGGATGAAGGAAGCTTATGTAGTCTTGGAACATTGCCCTTCTCACTTGCTAGCGGATGTGGTTCAGGAGGGAAGACAGATGTGCATCTGAAAGCTGGAAAGGTAACAAGCAAAATTGAATTTCTATTGATTACTATCATTTATGCTACAATAATTTTAGCTATCTATTAGTATCTCCTTACAGCGTGGAAAACCCCTCTTAACAATGATAACAATCCAAGATATACCTGGGTCTAAAGGCTGCACACTGGACACCTTCAAGGGAATGTCTTCTATAAGACGCAAGCGCTTTGATAGAACATCAAATGCCCCAAGCAAACTTGCAGAAAATGACATAGGATCTGAGAAAATGGTGTTATTTTTTTAAAAAAAATTTGTAGAATTCCGTGAGAATAGGTACATTGCAGAAATGAAGGAGAAAAAAGGGTAAACCAACTAACAGCAAATGGTTAATTTAATCACCTTCAACACCGTGAACTAGAGAGAAGTCAAGTTGATCCACAGTTTGCTCAATACTGGTTTTTGATATGGCAAGATGACGAAGAAGTATATATTCTACTATTCTTTTTAAAATGAGATGTTTCCTCCACTGCTCACTTTCCCATACTACATACAAAATGGGACAACAAAGTCATGCCAATCATCATGTTGAAACTAAGTTCAATTCCAAGAAGCCAGGACAAACATAGAGCCTCACCTGTGCTTTCAGCAATTTTACCATCCTTAAATCTCCGAAGCTCTGCCTTTTCCCCCAGAACTTCCGAAACTTGGCAGCCTGGTGTAAAAGATGAAAAATTTAGTACATTGGAATCTCTTTCTTCTATTAATTGAAGGTGGATGCAATAAAAAGGTAGATAAATTTCAAGCATGGAATTCAAATACCTCTTCTTTATTTTCTGCATCGGCACCAATATCAACAACTCGAAATGCTTTATCTAAAGAGCTTAGAGAAATTCCAACGAGCAACGGTTCTACATCAAGTGTTGACAAACCCTGAAATAGATAGCAATTGCAACTAGTCCATGAAAAGAAATAGAATGATCTCAAATTAGAAAGAAATAACAGTAATAATAATAATAATAATAATAATCACATACATTTTCGAAACTGCAACCTGAAGGGATGTTTCTCCAAATAACACGAACCGACCTGGCTCGATCACTCAGTCCTTGAGACAGAAGGCTCTGTACCTTTTGCTCATGCGATCTCCAACATTCTTCATCCAAGCAATATCCAGAAGAATAGAACTCACTATTTCCTTTCAAGTTCAATCTAAAAGGCCAAAAACACAAACATTAAGGGCAATGAAGATATAGACCAAGCATAAGTAACTGTTAAAACGAAAGGCAAAACAACATCACGCATGCATCATTGAAAAAGACAAAAATTATAACCACTACAATTGCCAGTTGGCTAGGTTTGTGCAAGGCACAACTGAGCATTTCCCATGGTAATCGTACGACAATGTTAAAAGAATTATTTCCATTCACACCATTTCATATCTTGTATTTCTATCATAATAGTTTCCTGTTTTATTGAATACCTGACATATTCACTGCCCACACTTCCAAAAATTTTATAAATGCCCACAATCTTCACCAGAAATCATTCTGAAAAACTAACATGGTGTGTTTGCAACAATTTCTCAATTTTGATGGATTCAAGACCATAAGAAATTCAAATTTTTTTGCTCAATCCAACTGAGGCCCCTAATAAAATCTCATGAATGAAAAATCCCAGCTTCTTTGAAAAATAGTTTGAATGTGTTCAAAAAAGGAATTATCGGGCAATCGACAACTTCAAAATCATAAAAATATACCTTACACAATAATCATATTTAGCAGGAAAGTCAATCTTTGTCATGAAGATATCCTCAAATGCACCATCTCCAGATTTCTCAAGGCATTTAAGTGTCAGAGCAGCCTCATCTTGGAGCTGAACATTGGAGCAAAGAATAAATCTTGAGACATGGCAACATAATCCAAAAGAAGAGGAATGGAAACAAGAGATGGACTCTCCAAATTGAGCTTAAAATTGCAAAAAAGGAAATTTAGCACCCCCTCTCAGTAGGCGATTTTGGGAGGGGGGTGGTTGGGGTTGTTGTGTTGTGGATTTATTGCTAGGACAGTGCCCTCAAAAGACTAAAAAATGAAAACCATCTAGCAAATGGTACCTCTGAGAAACCACTGCCTTTTATCCGAAAAGTCAAATTGATGTGAGTGGTTGAATCACATATGACAACTGGAAATGATTCTTTATACAACATTCTATCCTGCAACTCCAAAGTAAGATTATAATAAGCAATGACGCAACATGTAATAGAGCAATATCATATCAAAGCACTCAAGATATAAACAACTAATAAGCTACCAAGAGTTGCCGAAAGCTGTAATCAATTTGAAATACTCGGGTGAAATTTCAAACAAGACTAAGTAATTAGAGTCATTAAGTGTAGGGGTGAGCAAACGGTTCGGTTAACCGAAAATCGAATAAAACCGAACCGAATTATGAAATTTGGTCCGGTTTTAAATATAAAATTATACAATATAAAACTGAATCGAAAAAACCGAAATTATTTCCGTTCGGTTCGGTTTTTAGAAAAAAAATTTCGATTTCGACCGAAAACCAAAATAAAAAGTAAAAAATTTCCTAATTTCTAAATCCCTAACTTTTCAATCTTCATTCTTTTTGAAACTGAAACACGCAGATGGGGAGTAAATTTTGAGGACCGTTGGGTAAGAAAAGAAAGTGACAGAGTATAATTAATTAGGATACGAGTGTGTTTGAATAAGCAAATTTATTACACTTGGACTCGTTTTCATTAAAGCTTAGTTAAAATCTTCAAGGGCTTTGTGATTGTTTATAAAAAGGATTAATTGATAATAAGATGTTACTTCATTGACTAGTGGACTAAGTGCTAGTACAAAACATCTCTCTGTAATGATTTTTTTTATATAGCAAAATATTTTGGTTAAAACCGAAATATTTCGAAATCAAACCGAAATAATTCAGTTACAAACCGAATTTACCGAATTTATTTTGGTTCGGTTTTGGTTTTTATTTTTTTTAATTCGGTTAACCAAAAATCGAACCGAATTGTACAAAACCAAACCGTTTAACCAAATGCTCACCCCTAATTAAGTGACTCCATTTTTTCAATGACAACACAGCAGCAATGCCAGTGGCATTAATGGTAAATTTAATAATGTCACAACACTTTCTTTACAAAACGGGGCCCATCTGCAAAGATTGTGACCTGCATCAATTTTATCATGCAACAAGGCTGGCAAGATTATATTAGTGGAGGGGGCCTGACCAATGCACTCGTCACTCTGTGCATATAGCTAAATGGTGATTTTTTTCATCAGTTACTGGTGAGAGATGGAGGAGTAGGGAGAATATTATGATATGCATAGAAATTAATTGAAAAAAAAATGAAAGCTAGCGAAAGACATGTATCTATATAAATAGAAATCAAAGCAGCTCACTTGCCTCTTTCAAAATCTTGACCTCACCTTGCTTCTGTAAGAAAAGCCCTCTACTCCACAATTTTGAATTGGCTGCAAAACAGAGGATGCAGTAATCATTTTAGCGATTAAACGAAAGATTGTTAAAATCCACAAACATAATTTCTAAAGCATCATCAAACCAGATACACGTGATACAGGACAAAATAGGAAACTCCAGCTGCCTAAGTATTTGAAAGAGTTTGCCTCCACCATTTACTTGATATTTGCTTTCTTTTTTTTTTTTTTTTTTTGTTACACAAAGGAAAGGAAAGGAAAGCTAACACCATATAAGTCTTTCTAAGGAAAACGAAGCCGCTGGCTCAAGCTCCATCATGAAGCTAGGGGGCCAACCAGCTACTCTGCTAGCCCCATAGACATGGGAAACACAAACTACCCATTCATGTTTAAGACTTTTTGCTTCCATGTTATTTGCTTTATCTTTACTCGTGAGTTACTATGATTGGTCACTTTACTTCAAATATTTCTCAAAATTTATAACAGCAATGGACTATTTAACTTCAGAGCTTTACAATTGAGTTTACATCATTATAAAAATTGTATATAAAGAATAGCATTTTAAATGAAGAAATTATAAAAAGAATTAAAGGAACAAGGATACACATTAATGAGAAGAAAAATTTAACCCAATTCAAACTAATTACAACTGATGTGCAGGTACTTTTGGCAAAAAGAAAAACTGACGTACCTATGAAATCCAATGTAACACGAAATATTTGCAGTGGCCTCATGGAATTATTAACCTTCTCATGAGCCACAAGATATGACAATATGATAGCTATAAGATATCCATTTAGGCAATCATGAGAATGTACAGAATTTCTCTGCCGGGCCCAAACCTGCACAAATATGACAAAAATTCTAACTTCCATATCCCAGGAAAAACTTCCACGTTCATAGTCAGACTGGAGAAAAAGATAAAATACTTCACCTTCAGCAAAACTAAAGCCTCTCCCAATGCCTTCCATCCAAGAAAAGTTTTCTTAAGAAACTCTGTATTGTATTCTGAACACATGTCTTCCAAAATACTACTGTTATATCTTGGTGTAGGCAAAGGAGTCCCATCTAAATAATTCCAACAGAGAATTACAGTTTGGAGAACACATTGCAATACTTGTTAATATAACTAATATTCCCAAATCAAAAATACCTTGATTCAAAGCACGGACATTGTTCCTTTTCAAGTCGAGCTTTGCAACATTAAACAAAGATTTCGCTGTAGGAATTATCCTCACAACGAACCCAGGAACTTCGGCAAGCTTGTCAGCTACCAAAAAGAGAAAATGAAAACTTTGCATAATATATCCATTTAGGCAATCACTACTTCACTAGAACACGAAAAGAACAAATTATGGTAAGCAAGACGCACCTGGACAGACAAGCAGCACAGGTTTTCGGGCCTCATTTTGAAGCGTAGACCATTCAACCTTTTCAAATGACGAATCCAAATTCAAAAACTTCTTAATTATGGATAAATAAATAAACCTCTTCGCATGATAGCGGTGATTTAAATAATCCTTCTCATGAAAACACTCCTGCCCATAATTTCAAAATTTTCAATCAATATAAACAATTCACAATCCAATCAACAATCATCTGCAAACACATTTCCAAGCACATTAATGCAACCAACAGCAAGATTAAACTTGATTAATAGCCAAAAACCAAGTACCTTAGGCAATTGAATGAAAAGGTCAACATTAATATCCGGCTTTACGACACACTTTAACGAATAACTGCCACCAATTTCAATCGATTTCGGCTTCTTGAACTTAAAATCCACTTTATCCGCTCCAACGTCTCTAACAAACCCTGCCACTTCCTCGCCAGTAACCTGCATTTTTTATTAAAAAAAAGCTCATTAACTTGCTAATTAATTAAGCTTATAAAAAAAAACAAGACTGATAGAATAAGAGTTTAGAAAAAGAACCGTGAGGTTGTTAGGGATTTTGTTGATAGAATTTTGGATGGATGAAACTGAGTCGTTTACGAGCTTGGTGAAAGAAGGAGAGTGATCAATTTGCACTTCTTTTATCAATTCCAATACTTTTAACTCCATCGGTTCTGTTAGTGTATCGGAATCCATGGTGGAAGGAGGGATTTTGTCTGGTCGGCGAAGGGGGTTTTGTTAGGGTTTAACAGACTTTGGTGGCGGGAGGGAGAGAAGAGAGGTGAGTTTTAACGAATTTGTTTTAAGGGTCAAAAGAAGGCCCAAGCATATTTATTTACTGAATATTGGGCTTTGAAGATTGGAGTTTTTGAGATTTTAGATGGGCTTTAAGCCTGCTAAACTTGGTAATTTGATTTTCATTCATTGAATATTGGGCTTTGAAGATTGGAGCTTTAAAGATTTTAGATGGGCTTTGAGCCTGCTAAACTTGGTAATTTGTTTTTCATTCATTGAATATTGGGCTTTGAAGATTGGAGTTTTTAAGATTTTAGATGGGCTTTAAGCCTGCTATTCATGGCATTATTCGTGTACGCTCACTGCATTATGGACTGTCGCTCGATTGTATTATCCTTTTTACTATATTGTAGTATTTTTGTTATTTTATAACTATTTTCAAGTATTTTTTTCAGCATCTTTTTTTTCTCATGATTTTTTTTCTTGAACTCTGATTTTTTATTTTTAGAGTTCCTTCAAATTGGCATTCATCAAGTGGACATAGTAAGCATGTACTATCAGTTTATTAGTTAAATGTTATTATGGCTTGATTCAAAAGTGAAAGAACGTTCATTCTAATGTTCTTCAAAAGAAATTTTGTCATTTATAAATAAATTCCATTCTAATATTTTGTAACTTCTTTTAAACAGTTGTTGACTGCTTAAACGTATCGTTAGCAAGTATTATTTTGCTTTTATTTTAACTTTTTACATGTTTTCTGCAAGTAAATACGATGTTGATAGATGATTCTGTTAATGATTTGGCCGCTCCTAACAATGGCTTTTCATGTCGAAGCTGCTAGATTTGCTAGCTTAGTCCTGTTAATTGACGACAATGGGTTTAATTCAATTCTTAGGTACTGAATTGTTTTTTGTTTCTGAAGTGTGTTGCTGCTCAAGAAGTTGAATTATTGGAATAAAAACTTTATTTTATTGAGTGATGGTGTCAACATTGCCCATTAATTCTTGCACTACTAGAAATGGGAGGTCATTATACATCGAGGAAGATGTTATTGGAGCCGTGGTTGATTTAAGGTTCTGATATCAATATCAAAACAGAAGGTAAGTGTTTTTTTTTTTTTCACTGTTTGATACTGGTTTAATTGGCTATATTTTTCAGGTTTTAGGGTTTAAGTGCTTGGTCTGATTTTTTGGTCTGTTGTCAGTAGGTTAACTCTGACGTGATTTTTCTTTGCATCTGAAAGCTTTTCTTGTGTGTGCTGTGCAGCTCAAAGAAAATGGATGGAACTTCTGTTTCCAGTTCTGAGGAACTCATTAAGGGAAACCCTAATGATAATGAAATGCCTAAACAACCAGTCACGCAATATCCAAGATCATCTCAATCAAAAACTTAATTTGAACTCGTAATCGTTTGATCATAAAGACTCTGATACCATGTCAAAGAATCGTTTTATTTAAAAACTTAGGTTGTTAAGTGAGATTACAGGATATGATTTATATGATTTTGTAACACGCAAGATCCACACAACACTTTCGATATGCAGGCATGCTTCTGTTTGCTCTTGCTTTAAGGTAAACGGTTAATTGCTTGAATCTGAGACTTTAGTCATTACCAAGTTCAAATAGGGTTGAGGTCAGTTGTATAACCAACTGGTTCGATCATATGGTTATATAGGAGTTATGGCTGCCACATTATGCTCGGTACTGAATTATGGGAAGATGCTTAAACTTCAACATATGTTTTAACAGCTGTGAACCTACACTGAACAGGAAAGACAAGCAACATTTTCGTTTTATTTTTCTAAATCTAAAAGCTCATAAAATTTACTTCGTGTGTTTGTTCCTTTCGTTGATCTTTCCCCAAACACAACTGTTATGACCTTAAGTGTCATTGTCGTCCCTTTTCTGAATGCTATGTTAAGGTTTGGATGAAGCAGTATATCCACCAGGCTACCAGCTATTGGCAATATTGTATGTGTATTCTTGCACGTAAAATTCCATACCCTGTCAGTTCTCTAGCTTTTAGTTGGTAACCATGCTGCAATAAGTAAATTAAGGGATTATCATGAATCCAAGCAGATGTTTAAGTGAATTTTTAAACCAATGGAATGTTCTTGTGTTGTCTACACAATCCATTGATCAGTTTGCATTTTCCTTTCTTTCTTCCCTCACTTTCTTGCATCTTACTTCACTGTTCATTTTCATGCAATTTTCATGGTTTTTGAAGGTCAACTTCAAGTCTTTTAGGATTACTATTAGCTGGCTTATTTTTCGCTATGAATTCATTCTGAAATAAAAACCTATAATAATAGATAGATATAGAAACTTTTAATATAAAATTTTTTAAAAAATCTTAATCTCATCTTCTTAAGATTGCATTGAAGAAATAAAGCAACGATAAATATAAAAATTAACTAACAAATGTTTTTTTAACTTTTTGAAAATATGTATATATGATTTATATATATTTATTTACAAAAAAAAAAATTAATAGTATTAGTATCAAAAGATGTATTTTGAATTATTAGGTGGTTATTCTAAATATTGTTTTAATTATTTTATCTGAAATAAATTAATTTTAAAATGTTAAAAATAATTATCGGTAAATGATTAACGTTATATGTGTAGATACATAGTTAATTTTTAATAAAAACAATGATCTTGATATTTTTTTATATATCATGAACATACTTAGTGGGCCAAAGTATGCAGTATAATTTAAAAAATCTTTTAAAAAAAAATTTTAAGTTGTAAGGAATACATTAAAGTTAATAAAGTACAATAAAAACAACTAAAAAAATTATTCTAAAAAGTTTTGATTATATCAAAAATAAGCGAAAGAAACACGTAAATTCTTTTATTCAATTAATTATTTCTTAAAATAAAAACATATTTGCAAATCCATAAATAAAGAAAAAATAAATCATATTTATTAACAAATAAAATTATATAAAAATTAATTGATCAGAATTTCTATAAGAAACGACAAATTGAAGAGAGTAATTTTTAAAAATAGCAATAATATGATTTGATATGTGTGTGTGTGTTTATTTTAAAATTTAAATACATGATAAGGCAAAAACATCTTTTAAAAATATAAAAGACCAAAAATATATTTTGAAAAAATAAGGAATCAAAATGAAAGAAGTTAAAAACATGATGATGCTAAAATATCTTTAAAAAAACATATGTAAGCTTGTATGTGCCGATAAAACTACTAGTCAACAAAAAAAGACTCAAGTATTATCGATGAACATGGCCTTTTTTAGCATCACCAATTTGCAATAGTCTTCATACATATATTTCTTTCTCGAATCTACCAAAGTTTTGTTTTGATCAGGGCTGAGTTGCCAATATTTCTCTTATTATTCCACCAATACTTCTCAGAGTTACACCTGCTTCCAAACTTGCTGCCATGGACGTCAATTCCTTGATATTGGGCAACAAATGGTGCTTGAGACCAATCAACTTTCCTTCCTCCTGCTGCCCAACTTTCTCCATTCCATATGGTTCCATCTACAAACATTTCATTCTTAGGGTATCTGCAGCCAATATTTTGTGAGCTTCTGTACACTCTGATCGATGGGAACATCGTCCACGAAAAAAACTGAATTTTGAAATCCACCAACATATCATATATACGAGCAAGCAGGACATTAATTAGTTTAATATCTTCCAGACCCAGTAAAATTTTGAGGGGAAAAAACATAAAATAAAATAAAAAAATTAAGAGATGCTTTACTTTACACTATTTTATGATCGTTTCATAGAACTCCTTATTTGTGCAAACTTTTGGATGGATCAAACCAAAAGCAAAATATTATTTTAATTATTTTATTTCAAAAAAAATAGAAAAAACTAATAGGAAATGATTGGTGTCATGTGTTGGTTAGCAAAAGTACTTTAGTTTATATTTTTTCTATCCAACATTAAAAAAATATGCTAATATAATTAAAAAAATATATAAAGTTTGTATATGCAATAATAAACCTTGTTTTAATTAATAAACATGATGAATATATTCTGAATAAAATACGAGAGGATCTAAATCCATATTTTACCAAACCAGCCAAATAAACATACAGCTATCTCACTCGATCTAAAACAACACAATCACTGTTGGCAGAGAAGATTGAAAACACTTTATATCATATTACCATCTTGAAATTAACAACCACACAAACAAAACCTATAATTGTACAACAAGAAGCAAACCCAGATTCAGAACGAAATATGCAGTGGCCCTTTACTTCAAACCATTGCGGGCATGACATTGATGTAGCTATCAGAACCGTCGTCTCACGTTATCATGGACACATTAGAAGTTGACAATTCCATACCTGATCAGCTTATCATAAAATTTTAACATGGGCCAGTTTGTTTGGGCAAATTAAAAACGTCCAAAGGACAGGGAAAGCAATTCTAAAACAAGTGTAAGCAAGCAGTACAATTCTAGCTGTACATTTGAATTGGTCAATGAACTAGCATAAGGATAGCCAAACCGAAAAGATTCAATTGAAAACCTAAAGTGGGGAACACTTGCATCTAAAAAGTACGTACTAAGTGCACTAATACAGGAAACAAAGAAAAAGACTTGAGACACAAGAATGACAGAAAAGTAAAGAAAAAGAAACTAAGGAGTCAAAGCTAACGAAACATCGATGCATCAAACGAAGCTTTTCTCTTTTTCTTCCTCAACAAACTGAAGCTGGATTACGAGATCGATGTAGAATGGTGAGGAATGGAATTTATAAAGTACATATTCTTCACCCACACCTATGGGCTATACCTACTTGAGACACAAGTACGGAAAGTGCATTCAAATGTACATTATGGCCAACTTATTCCGGCCCTACAAAAAGGCCTTTGGTAATGGGTACCCAAACTCAGCCAAGAATCCAAGCATGACTCCTAATAATTTCTGCCTTAAACTTCCTTTATTATTATTATTATTATTTTGACTCGCACACTTAAGTTTCGGTAATAACACTATTACTCTATTAAAATTTAAATTCGTAATTTTTTATTATAAAAAACTAATATCGTTGAATTATAAACTCTTTGATTCTGTCTTAAACTTCTTAAACATTAAGAAAAACCTAAAAATGAGATACACTGCTAACCAAGCATAGTTTTGCTTCGACTGTCAATCGTTTTAATTTTCTCTTTTTTGTTATTAAATTAATAAATTTTGAAAATAAAAACTCATCTGGAGTGTTTCTAAATTCTTTTAGAGATTATCCCTAAGAAGACCATATTTAATTATATATATATATATAATTTTATTGCGGTTTTCAAAATGTTTACGTATCTTTTTCAAAATTAGTCTACTTTAAACTGGGTTAAATGTTAAGCATTTGATCATAAAAATATTTTTGTTAATGCTATGCTAATAAATTTTAAAAAAATTTTTTAGGGCTCTCAACAAAATTTGGAATCATTCCAATTTATTTTTAAAAATTAAAATGTTTGTGAATATTTGATGTTTAAAAAATAAAAATACTTTCTAACCTGATAATAAAAATCACTAACCTAACAGAAAACTTATGCAAAACTAAATTATTGTCATCATTAAAATAATTAGTTTTTTTAAAAAAAATGACTAATTAATTTGATTATCTAAACGCGACGAAGTAAATCATTAGTTTCTGAAAGAAAATTTGTTTATCCAAAAGAGAATGACTTATTTATAATATTCTCATTTCAATGTTGAATGATGAAGAAACTGTACCCTCCAAAAAGAAAAAAAAAAAAGGGTGTGGACTGCCCGAATCTTGTCCGAATCTAACAAGCTGGCAAATCTTCTAAAAACTGTGTGTGGCAAGACAACACAATGACATGAATATTTGTGGGTTGCACAAGGGAATGCTAGCTGTTTCTTAAAGAGTGATTCTTGATTCTGAATGTGTCACACTTTGAGCTACCAAATCGGCACAAATCCTACAGGACAAGCTGCCATGACGAGTACGTCACAGCTTAAATATACAAAGCTTTCTGCCATCAATCTGACTATAGACTTTTCCCTGAAGGGAAATAAAGATTCATCCAAAACACACATAAGCAGGGGGAAAAATTGGTATATGAGGAGAGCAGATTCGATGTATATGGGAATTAAAGCAGAAGAAAATCCGTTGCACTTAAAGCATACTTCATCATATATTGGGCATTGGTCCAATGAGCCAAGGACAGATGACTTAAAAAGCCCAAGTTTTAAGAACTTAGTGTTACACTATATCTAATTAAATTACAATTTCATTGGGAAAAAAGGAAAAAAAAAACTCAAATCAAAATGCCAAGAAGTTAGGCCTAAATCGAGGGGAAATGGTTCGATTTATCATTATAAAATGGAATGTTTTTAATTTGTTACTGTATTTTTAAATTTAGCCAGTTGTAT